GTAAAAATTGACTACACTGAAGTTTGCAAGCATTTCAGTCAAACATGATAAATTCTGTGAAATATTTAGATTTGAAATAAGAATTTTATCAACCAAATTCCAGGTTGTGTTGCTTTTTCATACTTCTGGATAGAGGCACTTCTTACAAGTTTGAGTATTTTTCTACTGTCAGCCTGCAGGCAGACATGAAAACAGACAGCCAGGCAGACAGACACTGTACCTTCCTGCTTCTTTCATTTCCCCTACAATTTTTTACTCAGATCAATAAATAATCTTGTGGTCGGTTGGCTACAACCATTTTATCTGTATCTGGAATTCCCACAGGATCTTAGCTATTCCAATATCTTCTACCCTGCTGTGAGATGCTGGGTTGTTTCTGGGACATCTTTGGAGAGCCTGCACCTGGAATCTTGCCTGGTAGATCTGCTCCTGTACTGCCATGATTAATGCTTCTGTTCCTTTCTTCAGCCTGGCACTCTTATTGGTAGGATTTGGTACTGTAATGTCAGCCATTTCAGCTACCTGTCGGTGGTATATCCCATGCAGAGGCTTTGGTTCTCTTGATGGTACCTCTGGTTCCTTCATTTCCATCATCTACTGTCTGAGTCATTCACTGAGTGCTTTAACCCTTGGGGCCATCTTTTTGATATATTCTTGGAGATTGGATGTTTCATCTTCAATGTTTGCATCGTTAATGCTCACTAGGCCTCTGCCTCCCTCTTTGTGCTTTATGTTTAGTGTATGGATACTGGATTTGGGGTGAAATCCACCATCCATGGAAAGCAGTTTTCGTGTTTCAACATCAGTGGCCTGAATTTCCTCCTTAGGTGACCTTATTACCCCAGCAGAGTATCTGATTACTGACAATCATAACTGTTTATTTTCTGGACCTCGTTCTTACCGTTGAGCTGACTTCGCAGAACTTGTCTTACTTGTTGCAGGAATTTTCCTGCTGCTGCTTTCCTTGGGGACTCTTATTGTTTGCCATTTGCCTGAGGTATTCCAAAGTACTTGTAGCTTTCTTCTGTTTACCTTCTGGGAGTGCAACCCCTGTGTGTGGATAACATTCCCTCTCCTTTTCACCGTCTGACTTAATTTCTCTATCTCGAATGAGATTCCTATGTCTGTAATGTAGATCTTGGTGTTGTAGATCAGCGAGTCAATGTCTCGTTCACTCTTAGCATACAGCTTGATGTAATCCATGTACAGGAGGTGGCTGATAGTGGCCCTATTTATGAATCACTATCCATAGCCAGTGTTGTTCATCATTTGGCTGAGTGGGTTCAGGCCTATACAGAACAGCAAGAGTTACAGAGCATCTAATTGGTATATTCCACATGTGATGGAGAGTTTTGGAACTGGCTTGAAGTTGGCCTCAAGTGTGGTTTTTTCCACAGCCCCAAGGAGTTTTCAGTGAACGCTCTCAGAGCGCTGTTGATCTTATACACCTTAATTCATTCTATGATCCATGTGTGTTACATTGTGTCATACTGTAGGAGTTCTTGTAATAAACCCAGGCTCTGCACAGGCCTGTTTGGTTATCACCGCTGTTCAATAATGAAAAATGTTAGAGGATCAATAATGATTAGAGCTCACTATGTTTTCATTCTATATTAAAACATAATCTTCTGGCTTTTAAAAAACTGTGGAGTTTAACCTCATCGTATAAATGTATACATTTTCCATATGCTGACAGTCATCTGCAGAAACGATCCCAAGTTAAACGTAATATCTGCCTTCCAGAAAACCTCTTTATTAGCATTTCTAAAAGGTTAACGCTTTGCTCCAAACTGCTGCAGGATCAATAAACGGTGCTTGATGCGGTCCACATTACACTGGGTTTAACTAAATGCACCGTTACAGTTTCTAAAAGTGTTTGTCAGATGAGGTTTACAAAAGATTTAAGAGACATTAACAGAGATCTAAATGTTTGATGACAGAAAAACTGATCAGTCATCTGCTAATAAACAATAAAATGAGAGAATCAACACAATAAATAACTTAAACTGATCATAAAAAATATTTCTTTGATTAATGAACAAGATTTAACTATTCTTGTTTTCTTTTATAAATCTTCTCATACTCGTTGATTTGTTTGTGTCAGAGTCAGAGAGCCGTGTCTTTAACAGTCAGAGGTTTTTGTACGACGGCTCCATCAGTTTGTATCACTGTGGTACACGTTTGGTGGAGGAACCAGACTGACTGTTAACTGTAAGTACAACTAACCTAATTTAAATCAATCTTCTCTGCAATTTAATTTTTTAATGTTTTTTTCTTTTTACTTTGATGGGAAACTCATTTATTTTTTAATTTAGTTAGTTTAAAAAAGTAATAATAATTTAGCCAGTAGTGAATTAAGCTGCTAGTTTTATTTACTTCTTGTTTGTTTTTGAAAGAAGAAGCATTGATAAAGCTTTGAAATTTGTCTCATGAAAAATGTTTCATTTACTTTTGGAAGCAGAGTGCGATATATGTAAACCCATAATATCAATGTCACTGTGAGTGCTGTCCTTGGCTCATATTTTCTCTGAGTCGTTGATAACAGCTTTTGAACTAAGAATGTCTGAACTGTCCCTTTTTTGTAAACATTGACGCTACAGAGATAAAAGATCATTGTGAAAATTTGTTTAGTGAGAGACATTTAGGTAAAAGTACAGCTTGTTAAAGCAACAATAAAACAAGGAAAGTTTAAGGAGACATAAATTAGAAAATTTAAGAAGTAATTTCAGTTTTAATGTGCGGTACTGAAACCTGTCTGGTGCTCTGCTTGAGCAGTGATGCAGATGTGTTTCCATAGTAACAAAGTACCGAGCAGGAAATTAACTTCAAGGACTTTTATCTGGACTCTTCAATGTGTTTTCTTTTTTTTTCTTTAGTGGAAAATGCTCGTCCCACCCTGACAGTGCTGCCCCCCTCCAGTGAGGAGCTGCAGCAGGGGAAGGCCACCCTCATGTGTCTGGCCAACAAGGGCTTCCCCTCAGACTGGAGTCTGTCCTGGAAGGTGGACGGCAGCAGCAGCAGCAGCTGGGAGGAGAACAAGAGCCGAGGAGTGCTGCAGAAGGACGGCCTCTACAGCTGGAGCAGCACCCTGAGGCTCCCTGCAGACCAGTGGAGGAAGGTGGGTCTCTGTGACCTGTGAGGCCACAAAGGCCTCCCAGTCTGCAGTCACAGAGACCCTGAGGAGGGACCAGTGTTCCCAGTAACAACCCGACTTGTTCTTTTTTTTTCAATCTGCTACTTTTTAAAGTGTTTTACAGCCAAGTGTATTGTATGCAAAATGTGTATGAGATTCCAATTACTTAACCTTCTATTTCTTCTCAAACTTCTCAATTTGTTCAACATAATAAAAAAATAAACCATCACATCTGTTGTATGTGGAGGCAATAAAGGTTGAAATTAGCAACAAATCGCCATTTTGTATTTGTGACTTGATATTTTCATAGCTTTGCTCAATTTATTTCAACGTGGAACATCAGGTTTTGGTCATATAAGAACTTAGAGAGGATTCTTCTTCTTTATGCCTTGAAGTCCCATTAGGGTTGAAACTAAATGTCAACAAAATGGTCAGAAAAAGGTTCAAGATTTTTTTAGATTATGGTTTCTATCTTCAAGTATTTTAATTTGTTAACAAATTAATTAGACAACTATATATATAGAATAGAACAGAACACAAAATCCCTTTACTGTCCCGCAATGGGGAAATTCTGGTGTTTACAGCAGCAAAAAGATTATATTAAAAGAAGTTTATATATAGATAAAGAAAAAATGTTGCTTAATTTTTTTAAGACATATTCTACATATTACTGCCGTTACTCAGTATTTAATGAAAACAAATCAAAATACAAGATGCTGTAAAAAAAACGTTATAAGCAGGTAACTCTTTGACAAAAAGTAAAAATAATTTGATGAATTATAAAAGTAAAATTGACTGAAAGCCTGTTTAGTGATGATGTCATGAAATTAATCAAAGTATTTTTTCTGGTGATATTTATTTTTCAGACAATCTTTTCTTTCAAAACTGTGCCTCATTTTCTTGTCATCTTAATTGAAAGCAAATTCACTGAGATACTCAGGGTCTGTTCAACCACAGATTATTAATCTTTATCTCTGTCAGAGGTAGTTAGTATTGGAAAGACTTTTATAATGAATCAAATATTTGGTCCTTTAAGAAATCCAGGTAAAAAATATTTTCTTTTTTTCTTTCTACAGTATCATAGTTTTTAAATGTAATCTGATATCTAAATAAAATAGGTTTCAAACCACGTCTTTATAAACAAAACAATAAAAAAAATGCTGTGTTTTCATGCGTTTGCTTTCTGTTGGCATTACCAGTCATCAACTGTGTTTCCATTCAGTCTAGATTAGTTAATTTATTGATTGTTTTCTATTGTTGTTCAAACTATCTGCTCTGACAGAATCTTCAGCTTGAACTTCAGTGGTGTTCAGAGTTTGATCTACTGCCTCTGAAACCATTTAGAGTCCAATAAACTCTTTCTAATTTATTTAATGAGCAATTAGAGAGTCTATTCTGCTTTATATTCTAACTAAACTGTTTTTATATTAAATATTTAGTCCAATTAAAGTTTTTTTCATTTAAATTCCTCTTGGAGCCATCTTTTATCTGAACCAGAATTAGAGGCCTAAACAAAAGTTTTACTGTTCAAAGAATCTCTGTTCAGGCAGGAGAGCTAAATCTGCATCGAGTTGTCAACAATGTTTTCTCCCATTTGTTCCTGAATGTTTGCATTTCACTCTAATCTGACATTAAATTTGATCTCTCATAAGAAAGAGTTTTAGTTCATTTCAAAGCTCACCAAATGAGCAGAAATACATTCATGTGTGCACAATACATGTTAATATGTTTTTGAGCAAAGATATTTACAGTAGATAAAATTATAGTTGCTCTGTGTGTGTTTAGTGATCTGTGTCAGAGTCTGCTGTGACATTCAGCTGGAGTTTCTGTTCAGTCTGACTGAGGGAGGTTTTTGTACGACTGTTTTTCACTGTGTGAACAGATCCTTACTGTTGATGTAGTGGTAACTCTGACAATAGTAAACTGCAGCATCTTCAGCCTGAACTCCACTGATGGTCAGAGTGAAGTCAGAGTTTGATCCACTGCCTCTAAAACGACTTGGAGTCCCTGATTCTCGAGAGCTAGCACGATAAATGAGCAGCTTAGGAGTTTGTCCATCTTTCTGTTGATACCAGGCTAAATAGTTAGAGCTATAGACATTCTGACTGGTTCTACAGTTGATGGTAACAGATCCTCCCAGATCAGCTCTCACTGCTGCATTCTGAGTCACTGTGACCTGACCTCTGGACTCTGAGGACACAGAGACAAAAACATAAAGCAGCTTCATGGTTTGTTGGCTTCATTTCAGAGGGACAGATGTTCATAGAGGAGAGGAGTTTGATTCTCTGGACTTTACCTGTGAAGCAGCAGCAGAGGAGAGTCCAGATGAGGATGCAGATCAAAGTTATGTTTTTGATGAGGAGGATTTCTGTGTCTTCTGTTGTCATGAAGGACAGCTGTCAGTCATCCAGTGTTTAACTCTCAGGACTATAAACTCTCCCAGAGCGCTGGAGCATGGAGCTGCTGATGCAAAGTGGCTCTATGGAAATACTGACGAGTCCTATATGAATTCAGGATCTAATGGATGATTCTATTTATCAATGAATTAAAACAGTTTTTATCTGTCATTAATGTCTAAGTAGTTCATACAGTTGCATAAATTGTGAATCAGATTTTTCAATATAATAATTTCACCTTTTAATTTACAAATTATGCTGCAATCTGTTTACCTTCAGGCACAGCCCAGTTAATTTTGTTTTAATGCTAGATTTAGAAAACAACCTTTAAGTAGTTATTGACCATAGTTTACACATAGCTCTCATCAGTGTTTCAAAAACATTCTGTTTTTGATTTTAATAAAATTGACCAATATTTAACTAAATTAAATGTTGTCTTTTCTTTAGCTTTGAACAGAAAATCATCATAACAGAAACAGAGGCTTGAAAACCTCAATCGGTGTTACTTAATAACATGAACTTAAAATATCCTTTATATTGAGATCTGCTTGTTTATTAAATTTTTGCTGTTTTAATTCTGTGTTCATTCCCTTTTTGAACACGGATTATAATTAAATCATTACAGGAAATATCGTCACCATTTCTATAAAATATAACAGTTTTCATTGAATATTTATTGTTTTTATTCAGCATTTTCACATCCACACTAAATATTCTGTTGTTTTATTTGTATACTACTCCACGATATTTCCCATAAAGCTGATGTTTTGGTTAATGTGTTTGTGTCAGAGTCAGAGAGCCGTGTCTCTCTACAGTCAGAGGTTTTTGTACGACCACTCAATGAGTTTGTATCACTGTGGTGGACTTTTGGTGGAGGAACCAGACTGGATGTTGGAAGTAAGTCTTTTACTGGATTTAAAATTAAATCTTATATTCTGTTGTTGCTTGTCTTTGGTCTAAAAAATTATTTCCTAAACAAGAGAAAAAAAGTCATTTAAAACATTTTCTATTTAAATTTAAACATTCATTGTAATGAAGAATCCGGATAAGGTTTTTAGGGACAGAAATAATTTTATGGGTAAGAGTTGAAACTACATTTATACTGAAAGCAAAATGTTGACAGTTTTGAATTTATTCATGTTTATTATATTTTTTTGTCTAATCAAATAGTAATTTAAATGAGGATGAAGAGAGATCTCATTTATGTTTTGCTATTATATCGTATATGACTTTAAATATTGTCAAATCATATCAAATATTTTCAGTTAAAAAATCTTTACTCTAGAAAAAAACTATTTATTGCTTTTGAAATTATAAATCTGCTAAACATACTTTTATAGCCGTAAGATTACTGCTTAATTTTGAAAAAATATATGTTTTTTGTAGATGTTAAAATTTGTTTTTGCAGTTTGATATGAAACAGACTTTATTTGATATATAAAACAATGATATTTCATGTGTAATACTTGTTGATTCATTCAAAGTAAAGTTATGGGAGGTTTGTTAAGTGGAAGTGAAACAATGTGTGTCAGTAACTGTTGGAGCAGAAAAAAAACATCTGGTGGAAATATTTTAGTAAAAAGCATCAACGCTCTCATAGTCAAAGTTTCATGGTTTCATTTCATGCCTTCCTGGTTCCTGTTCTCTAACCTGATTGGTGTCTCCTAGGTGATGCTCGTCCCACCCTGACAGTGCTGCCCCCCTCCAGTGAGGAGCTGCAGCAAGGGAAGGCCACCCTCATGTGTCTGGCCAACAAGGGCTTCCCCTCAGACTGGAGTCTGTCCTGGAAGGTGGACGGCAGCAGCAGCAGCTGGGAGGAGAACAAGAGCCGAGGAGTGCTGCAGAAGGACGGCCTCTACAGCTGGAGCAGCACCCTGAGGCTCCCTGCAGACCAGTGGAGGAAGGTGGGCTCTGTGACCTGTGAGGCCACCCAGGGCTCCCAGTCTGCAGTCACAGAGACACTGAGGAGAGACCAGTGTTCCCAGTGACAACCTGACTAGTTTTCTTTTCAATCTACTACTTTCTAAAGTATTTTGCGGCCAAGTGTATTGTCTGTAAAATGTGTATCAGAATTCATTCTTGAACCTTCTTTTCTTCTCAAAATTCTCAATTTTTTTAACATAATAAAAAAAATAAACCATCACATCTGTTTTATGTGGAGTCAAAAACAGTCAAATTATTAACAAATCGTGTTGTATTCATGAAAATACATTTTCACAAAGTTTTGCTTAATTTAGTTCAACATGGTTTAACATGGTACATCTGGTTTTGGCCATATTAGAACTTAGATTCTTCTTCTCTATGCCATAAAGTCCCATTAGGATTGAAACTAAATGTTAACAAAATGGTTGGAAAAAGGTTCAAGCTTTATTTTAGATTATGGATTCATCATTTCAGATTTTACTTTGTAAACAAATGACATGTTGTTTCTTATATCTCTATAAAGATAAAGAAAAAAAAATGTTTAAACAATGAAAAAAAAAATCAAAATAAAACATGATGTAAAACAATTTTTGCAAAATAAGTTTTAAGATGGCAAATCTCTGACAAAAAAGTAAAAATGATCTGGTGAAATTTAAGATGAAAATTGACTGAAAGCCTGTTTAGTGATGATGTCATAAAATAAGTCAAAGTGATTTTTCTGGTGAACTACTTTTTCCAGGCAATCTTTTGCGTCAAAACAGGACGTAATTTTTGTTGTCATTTTAAATGAAAGCAAATTCACTGAGATACTCAGGGCCTGTTCAACATTATATAGGTTAATGACAACAGATTATTCATCTTTATCTGTGTCAGAGGTAGTTAGAATTGGAAAGAATTTTATATTGAATCAAGTATTTGGTCATTTAAGAAAACCAGGTTAAAACATTTTTTTTTCTTTTTACAGTATAATCGTTTTTAAACCTAATCTAATTTCTAATTCAAACCATAACTATAAATAAAAGAGTTTTCATGTGTTTGCTTTCAGATAGCATTACCAGTCATCAATAATGTTTCCATCCATTCTAGATTAGTTAATTTATTGAATGTTTTCTATTGTTGTTCAAACTATCTGCTCTGACAGAATCTTCAGCTTGAACTGCAGTGGTTTCCAGAGTTTGATCTACTGCCTCTGAAACAATTTAAAGTCCATGAAACAATTTTTACTTTAATTATTGAGCAGCTAGAGAGTTTAATCAGCTTTATGTTCTAACTAAGCTGTTTTTAAATTTAATATTTGGCCCAATTAAAGTTTTTTTCATTTAAATTCCTCTTGAAGCCGTCTTTTGTCTGAACAAGCACTAGAGGCTTAAACAATAGTTTTACTGTTCAAAGAATCTCTGTTCACATAGAGTTCTCAACAATGTTTTCTTCCATTTGTTCCTAATAGTTTGCACTTCACTCTAATCTGCTATTAAATTTGATCTTTAAAAAAGTTTTAGTTAATTTCAAAGCTCACCAAATGACCCGCAATATATTTATGTGTGCGCAATACATGTTAATATGTTTTTGAGGAAAGATTTTTAGATAAAATTATAGTTACTCTGTGTGTGTTTTGTGATCTGTGTCAGAGTCTGCTGTGACATTCAGCTGGAGTTTCTGTTCAGTCTGACTGAGGGAGGTTTTTGTACAACTGTTTTTCACTGTGTGAACACGTACTGACTATTGATGACATGAAAACTCACACAGTAATAAACTGCAGCATCTTCAGCCTGAACTCCACTGATGGTCAGAGTGAAGTCAGAGTTTGATCCACTGCCTGTAAAACGACTTGGAGTCCCTGATTCTCGAGTGCTGGCATAATAAATGAGACGCTTAGGAGTTTGTCCATCTTTCTGTTGATACCAGGCTATATCATTACCACCATTAACTCGTTGACTGGTCCTACAGTTGATGGTAACAGTTCCTCCCAGATCAGCTCTCACTGCTGCAGGCTGAGTCACTGTGACCTGACCTCTGGACTCTGAGGACACAGAGACAAAAACATAAAGAAGCTTCATGGTTTGTTGGCTTCATTTCAGAGGGACAGATGTTCATAGAGGAGAGGAGTTTGATTCTCTGGACTTTACCTGTGAAGCAGCAGCAGAGGAGAGTCCAGATGAGGACGCAGATCAAAGTCATGTTTTTGATGAGGAGGATTTCTTTGTCTTCTGTTGTCATGAAGGACAGCTGTCAGTCTTCCAGTGTTCAACTCTCAGGACTATAAACTCTCCCAGAGCGCTGGAGCATGGAGCTGCTGATGCAAAGTGGCTCTATGGAAATACTGATGAGTCCTATATGGATTCAGGATCTAATGGATGATACTATTTATCAATGAATTAAACAGTTTTTATCTGTCATTAATGTCTAAGTAGTTCATACAGTTGCATAAATTGTGAATCAGATTTTCCAATATAATAATTTCACTTTTTAATTTACAAATTATGCTGCAATCTGCTTACCTTCAGGCACAGCCCAGTTAATTGTGTTTTAATGCCAGATTTAGAAAACAACCTTTAAGTAGTTATTGACCATAGTTTACACATAGCTCACATCAGTGTATCAAAAATATTCTGTGCTTGTTTTTAATAAAATTGACCATTATTTAACTAAATAAAAAGTTGTCTTTTCTTTAGCTTTGAACAGAAAATCATCATAACAGAAACAGAGGCTTGAAAACCTCAATCGATGTTACTTAATAACATGAACTTAAAATATCCTTTATATTGAGATCTGCTTGTTAATTACATTTTTGCTGTTTTAATTCTGTGTTCATTTCCTTTTTAGGATGTATTTTTGCATCAAACTTATCCAACATAGCTGATCACTGGTTCACTGCCAGGAACACTGATTATACATAAATCATTACAGGAAATATTGGCTCCATTTCTATCAAATATAACAATTTTCCTTGAATATTTATTATTTTTATTCAGCAATTTTACATCCAAACTAAATGTTCTGTTGTTTTATATGTTTACTACATGATATTTACATGATATTTCCCATAAAGCTGATGTTTTGGTTAATGTGTTTGTGTCAGAGTCAGAGAGCCGTGTCTCTCTACAGTCAGAGGTTTTTGTACGACCACTCAATGAGTTTGTATCACTGTGGTGGACTTTTGGTGGAGGAACCAGACTGGATGTTGGAAGTAAGTCTTTTACTGGATTTAAAATTAAATCCTATATTCTGTTGTTGCTTGTCTTTGGTCTAAAAAATTATTTCCTAAACAAGAGAAAAAAAGTCATTTAAAACATTTTCTATTTAAATCTAAACATTCATTGTAATGAAGAAGTCAGATGAGCTTTTTAGTGACAGAAATATTATTATGGGTAAGAGTTGAAACTAGATTCATATTGAAAGCAAAATGTTGATAGTTTTGAATTTATTCATGTTTATTATATTTTTTGTCTAACCAAATAGTAAATTAAATGAAGATGAAGAGAGATCTAATTTATGTTTGGATATTATATCGTATATGACTTTAAATATTGTCTCAAATTATTTTCAGTTAAAAAATCTTTACTGTAGAAAAAACTATTTATTGTTTTTGAAATTGTAAATCTGCTAAACATACTTTTAAAGCTGTAAGATTGTTGCATAAATTTGAAAAAAATATGTTTTTTGTAGATGTGAAAATCTGTTTTACAGTTTGATATAAAACAGACTTTATCTGATGTATAAAAGAATGATATTTCATGTTTAATATTGTTGATTCATTTAAAGTAAAGTTATGGGAGGTTTGTTAAGTGGAAGTGAAACAATGTGTGTCAGTAACTGTTGGAGCAGAAAAAAACATCTGGCAGAAACATTTTAGTAAAAAGCATCAACGCTCTCATAGTCAAAGTTTCCTGGTGTCATTTCATGCTTTCTTGGTTTCTGTTCTCTAACCTGATTGGTGTCTCCTAGGTGATGCTCGTCCCACCCTGACAGTGCTGCCCCCCTCCAGTGAGGAGCTGCAGCAGGGGAAGGCCACCCTCATGTGTCTGGCCAACAAGGGCTTCCCCTCAGACTGGAGTCTGTCCTGGAAGGTGGACGGCAGCAGCAGCAGCAGCTGGGAGGAGAACAAGAGCCGAGGAGTGCTGCAGAAGGACGGCCTCTACAGCTGGAGCAGCACCCTGAGGCTCCCTGCAGACCAGTGGAGGAAGGTGGGCTCTGTGACCTGTGAGGCCACCCAGAGCTCCCAGTCTGCAGTCACAGAGACACTGAGGAGAGACCAGTGTTCCCAGTGATAACCTGACTTGTTCTTTTTTTTTTTTTTTCAATCTGCTACTTTTTAAAGTCTTTTATGGCTAAACCTATTGTCTGTAAAATTTGTACCAGATTCCATTTTTAACCTTCTATTTCTTCTCAAGATCCTCAACTTTTTCAACATAATAAAAAACATAAACCATCACATCTGTTGTATGTGGAGTCAATAAAAAGTGAAACTAGCAACAAATCACCATTTTGTGTTCATGACAAGACAGTACATACAGTTTTGCTCAATTTAGTTCAACATGGTTTAACATTCTAATTCTCTATGCCATAAAGTCCCATTAGCATTGAAACTAAAGGTCAACAAAAAGGTCAGAAAAGGTTCAAACTTGTTTTTGGATTATGGTTTCATCTTCAAATATTTTACTTTATAAACATATTAAATGTTTTTCCTATAAAAAAGGACACAACTATGTATATCTCTATATAAACATAAAGATACAAAGAATATTTAGTAAAATATGTTTAACTCTGTAAGATGGTAAATGTCTGACAAAAGAGTAATTATAATCTGATATGATGAAAATTGACTTAATGCCTGTTTAGTGATGATGTCATAAAATCAGTCAATGTGAATTTTCTGGGGATATTTTTTTTCTAGACAATCTTTTCAGACAAAACTGTGCCTCAGTGTTTCTGTCATCTTAATTGAAAGCAAATTCACTGAGATACTCAGGGCCTGTTCAACATTATATAGGTTAATGACCACAGATTATTCATCTTTATCTGTGTCAGAGGTAGTTAGTATTGGAAATACTTTTATAATGAATCAAATATTTGATCCTTTAAGAAATCCAAGTAAAACATATTTACTTTTTTCTTTCTACAGTATCATAGTTTTTAAATGTAATCTGATATCTAAATAAAATAGGTTTTTAAACCATGTCTTTATAAACAAACAATAAAAAATGCCATGTTTTTATGTGTTTGCTTTCAGTTGACATTACCAGTCATCAATAATGTTTCCATTCATTCTAGAGTATTTAGTTTATTGATTGTTTTCTATTGTTGTTTAAACTATCTGCTCTGAAACTCTCATGAAACTCTTTTTGTTTAATTAATGAGCAGCTAGAGGATTTAATCAGCTCTATGTTCTAATTAAGCTGTTCTTAAACTCAATATTTTGATCAAAGCTTTTTTTTTTTAAGTTCCTCTTGAAGCCGTCTTTTGTCTGAACCAGAATTAGAGGCTTAAACAATAGTTTTACTGTTCAAAGAATCTTTTCAGGCAGGAGAGCTGAATCTTTATCAAGTTGTCAACAATGTTTTCTTCCATTTGTTCCTAAATGTTTGTATTTCACTCTAATCTGACATTAAATTTGATCTTTAAAAGAGTTTTAGTAAATTTCAAAGGTCACCAAATGACCCGAAATATATTTATGTGTGCGCAATAGATGTTAATATAATTATTGAGGAAAGATATTTAATTTAAATTATTGTTACTCTGTGTGTATTTAGTGATCTGTGTCAGAGTCTGCTGTGACATTCAGCTGGAGTTTCTGTTCAGTCTGACTGAGGGAGGTTTTTGTACGACTGTTTTTCACTGTGTGCAGGGCCACTGACTACCAATGTTATGAAGACTCTGACAGTAGTAAACTGCAGCATCTTCAGCCTGAACTCCACTGATGGTCAGAGTGAAGTCAGAGTTTGATCCACTGCCTGAAAAACGACTTGGAGTCCCTGATTCTCGAGAGCTAGCACGATAAATGAGCAGCTTAGGAGTTTGACCATCTTTCTGTTGATACCAGGCTAAATAGTTAGAGCTATAGACATTCTGACTGGTTCTACAGTTGATGGTAACAGATCCTCCCAGATCAGCTCTCACTGCTGCAGGCTGAGTCACTGTGACCTGACCTCTGGACTCTGAGGACACAGAGACAAAAACATAAAGCAGCTTCATGGTTTGTTGGCTTCATTTCAGAGGGACAGATGTTCATAGAGGAGAGGAGTTTGATTCTCTGGACTTTACCTGTGAAGCAGCAGCAGAGAAGAGTCCAGATGAGGACGCAGATCAAAGTCATGTTTTTGATGAGGAGGATTTCTCTGTCTTCTGTTGTCATGAAGGACAGCTGTCAGTCATCCAGTGTTCAACTCTCAGGACTATAAACTCTCCCAGAGCGCTGGAGCATGGAGCTGCTGATGCAAAGTGGCTCTATGGAAATACTCTGACTGACTCCAACATAGATTTTTGAATCTAAGAAATGAAATTATTTATAAATTTATACTTTTTTTTGGAATTAAAAAGTAAAGTAAATTTAGCTTTTGTATCTTCAGCATAAAATTTCAAGTATTATCTTTACATTTTAAAACATCAGTTTGCATTTTCCAGTAAATCATTTTCCTAAATTTAATTTATAACTCTTCATAAACACACACAAATCTGTGCTAATATGATTTAAAAAAGATATGAACATACAACAAAGCAAAGTGGCTCTATGGAAATACTTTGACTGACCCCAACAGAGATTTTTGGTATAAAAATAAAAATTGATGAACCAATAGAAATATTTTAGATTTCAGCGTCTCTTGTGATCCTGAATGAGTTAAAAATCCTTGTTATTGCAAAGTTTTAATGTTTTGTTCTATATGTTTTTGTTTTATATGTTTTATATTTAGCTGCTTTCCTTTAGGCCAGGTCTCTCTTGCAAAAGAGATTTACATCTCACTGTGATTAACCTGGTTAAATAAAGGATAGTCCTGAACTGATGCATGGATTTCCTGTTGCATTATCCATATAAAGATCTGTTGTTTATCTGTTGATTTTCATCTTAAGAATTACTGTTACTTGTTCAGATACTCAAGAATTTCAAAATAAAATAAAATAAAAATCATTAATCATGTTCTACTGTTGAGTTTAACCAGATTCATTCAGCTATAAATGTTAATTATAATTCGTCCTTCTATCTTATGAGAGAAAAAAAAGTATTTCCAATTCTATTATTTCTAAATAATAAAATAAAGGAACATCTGGTCAAAAGGATCCATCCATCCATCGACACGCTTGTCTCAAGTGGGGTCACGAGGGGTGCGAACAACCATTCATGCACACACTCACACCTAAAGAGAATTTAGATAAGTCAATTAACCTAACAGTCATGTTTTTGGACTGTGGGAGGAAGCCGGAGTACCCAGAGAGAATCCACGCATGCTCAGGGAGAACATGCAAACTCCATGCAGAAAGACCCTGGGCCAGGAATTGAACCCAGAACCTTCTTGGTTATAAAAACATGCTTTATTAATGAAATATTCCATATATAACTTTATATTCATTCTATTTTTTTTATTATTTGATTTTAATCTTAATCAATGAACCCTCTTCAAATGATGAAATAATTATTTAGGTACATCATAAGCTTTTTCATTTTCTTTTTACCTCATTGAACAAACCGAACTTAAGAGTCTTTCACTCTTACATTTTTGTTTCAAAATATACAAAATAATCACAATATTTCCTCAGTCAAAGTAATTATCAAATTGTGAACTATTTAATACTTTGTTAAGAATATGAAAATAAACCAACATAATAATCAGTAATTAAGGTTAACTTTTTTATCTGGTTCATGTAAAACATTGTTCTGCTTAGGTTCCTAAAAACCAGAGAAAAAACTTTTAGACTAAACACTTTACTAAAAACTTTAAGAACCCATTACAAGTCATGTTAATGAAAATGCTGAAAAGCAGAAAGCTAAAAAAAATAAATAAATAAAGTGTATTTTTTCAGACGAGGATTCAAACTGAAATCACCTTAAATCTCAAAGTTCATGTGAGTTTTTCATAATTTTAGGAACTCTGTGCTGTAATCCTGCAAGCAGCCATTTAGTTAAATATACTATTATAGAAAAATCCTTTCAAAATTACTTGAAAAAGCATCAAATATTTAGTGTGATCTTGTATCACTTTTTGATCTGTGTTCTCCAATCCTGCTGACACTGATAATCTGCATCTTTAGCATGAAATCTGCTGATGGTCTGATTGAAATTGGAACCAGACTGACTCCCAATGAACCAATCAGAAGCGCTAGGCTCTAAAGTTGATGTCTAATAAATGAGAACATCAGGAGCTTTTCCAGGTGTCTGAAGGTATCATTCTGCATCATGGCTGACATGTCCTCTGGCTTTACTTCTAAAGGGATCCAGCCTTTCCTTAAAAAACACAGACAGATATCCTGGACTCTAAGTCATGACTATGTCTTCTGATAAGCTTGAAGAGAAGTATTTAAAAAATATGTTTCTCTTTCTTAGTAAAATACTAAAATACCAAAGAAACCAGCTACTGAATATAGAGTAATATGTGCACGCACTGTATATACTGTATATATCCCATGCACCTTTTTCTTCCTATGGCATATTCTTCTTCTTTGACTGTTTGAGCTGATGTAACGAGTATATTTCTCCACTGTGCAATCAATAAAGTCAATCAATCAATCAATCGAGTCTCACCCTGAACCAGGAGCTCCAGGATTGTCAGCAGTAGAGTCAGTAACACTCATTTTAAAATCTTTACTTAACTTTTTAATCATCTGTATTCTTACACTTAGATGAAATATAATTTCCTTTTTGACCTTAACATAGATTTTGACAGAAAGTTTCATTGAGTGTAATGTTTTAAAAACCAAGTGAAAAAAGTATCCATTCTAGTAAAACTGTTACTGATTCAGATCAGTTCCTCTTTGACTGGGGGGGGTTTGTACGACGTTGTTTCACTGTGTGAGTGGCAAGCTCTTAACCTGCTGACAGTAATAAACTCCTCCATCTTCAGCCTGAACTCCACTGATTGTTAAAGTGAAAGCAGTTCCAGATCCACTTCCACTAAAACTACCTGGAATCCCAGACTGACAAGATGAAGCACTATAGATTAAAAGTTTAGGAGACTCTCCATCCTTCTGGAGGTACCAGCTGAGGCAGCTGCCAGCACTGGAGCTGGTTTTACAGCTGATGGAGACAGTCTGTCCTAAAACAACAGACTGAGATACTGGAGTCTGAGTCAGAATGATGTCACCTGATGAACCTGGAAAATAAATTAAAGGAATAAAAAAGCTAAGAAGATCACTTTTAATAAACACAATAACATCGCCCAAAAAGATGATCTGTTCTCGAAGAATGTAATTACTGTCTTTCAAATGACGGATCATTATAGTGTTTTATCCAAAGTAAAATTTTCAGCAGAGAGTCTCACCCTGAACCAGGAGCTCCAGGATGGTCAGCAGTAGAGTCAGTAAAATCATCATTGTGCTGCTGGTGGTTCAGTGGCTCTGAAAGGCCTGGACAGCCTCTGATCAACACTGACCTCTTAACAGCTGGGAGCAGAGAGGGAGGACACATATGCAAACACACAGAGTCAGTCACATGGGGGAGTGGTGGCCTAGCAGTTAGATTTGTGCTTCAGTCCCAATAGGTTCTGAGTCCCACACACTCCCAGGGATGGCCACTTTGAGTCCCTGAGCAAGACTCTTAACCCAAGACTGCTCCATGGGCATCAACAGTGTCAGCCCCTGCTCCCTAAAGGGGAGAGTGAGTGAGTTTACCCAATGTGGGACAATAAAGGATTTTAATGAAGCTGAACTCAAAATGTCATCAACTTCCATTAATGTTCACTACAACCTGATGTGTTGCTATATATTCACCATGCTAATTTTCTTTAATTTTCTTCTACGACAAGTTATGAAATATTTTTTTAACTATTTTTTAAGGCTGCACTTTAAAAAAAGATGAAATTGTCTAGAGAGCTGTTCCAAATGAAATTTCTTTTTGTTTTACACTTGTGTAAACAAAATGACAAATAAATCTGTCTATCTCTCTATATATATATCTATATCTATAAGAATAATAAAAGAATATATAGTGCAATGTTAGAGTGTAAAACTAATTCATCTATGTCTTTGTTAGTTGACTATTGTTCATACTTGTTCAGAAGTGAATCTCTGTACAGGCATATAAAAGTTTTTCAGCAAAGTCTGTCTACTTCTTATGCTGCCTTCAGATTTAACATCCAGTTCGGTTTTCAGTGGGTCGGTTTTTTGTATAACAGATTTTACGTGTATGAAGACATTCACAGTTTATATCTCCTTACGTAAAAAACAGCAGCATGTCAACCTAATCTCTACAAACAGTTAGTTTGAACCTGAGTTTAATCTACTGCTAAAAAATATGTTGAACTTCTTGAAGCTGTGCTAATGAAACACGGCTAAGAACTGGAAAGTGAACATTATTTGGCCCTTTGAACTTAGAGCTGTGCAGTGTGCACAGGTAAGCTGCAATGAATCAGGTGTTATATTGGTTTCAGAATTTTTGTGGAGGTGTAATGTTGAAAATAAATTTGGCACACCCAGTACTTGCTGATACCTCAGAGGGGAAGCCTCAGGGCCTTCTACGGCTTCAGAGAAGGCCTAAAAAAATCAGAAGATTATTTTCAATTCTTTTGTGCATCACTGTGTTTCTGTTTGGCCACCTTATATGGCAGATTTTGGCTTTTTACATATATTTGATCACCTATGTCTGTAACTTAAATCATATTCAGTGTTTTGATGGTAATATTGAGAAGGGGTCTTGTTCCTTGGCGTTTTAAAATGTTTTTTTTTTTTTTTTTTGTTCTTTTAATGCACTGATGAATACCCAGCTGAGGATTTCACAATTCACCGCTGCTATACATTATAGCAGTTTCTTTACTGCCCCTTGGCTTTCCTGCCCTTCCATTCTGTACTATCTACCCGTTTGTAATGCACGTCCTCTTCTGTCTCATTTCTTTTATCTGTAGACCTTGGCGGCTTTGTTGGGCTCCTGTATAAAACCTCCAACTCAACGCTATTCCTGACATTTTAAATTGAAAAAGCTTCTTGGATGGGAAGTGAAACGTCTTCAAACGTGGAAACAAAGTCCAGTAGATTGTTTTTGATTTTCTTTTTTTGGGTATAGCTTAGCTGCATGTGCATTGCGCTTCTTATTATTTCTGAGTTACTCATTTCTGTGAAAGCTCTCCTGGAAACATGTAATGCTGCTAGGTGCTGCCCTACTCTAGTACTCCTAGAATTGTTCTCTAGATCAGGTTGTTATCTAATAAAACAGAAGGTGGGTTAGGACTGTGACCAAAGCTGGTGTGACTTAAAATCATGCACATTAATCATACTATTTTTGACCATAAGAGCCCAGAAAAGACACTACCTGATTTGATCCAGTTCTCCAGTTTGATCCAGTTCATGGTGGTTCTCAAACATCCAGCCAGGAAGTCCTCTCAAAGAGATTGTGGGTTCGACATCTAACCATCTAATTCTCCTTAGATGGGTTGCTGTCCAGTCCTGGTTCCATAAGTTCGCTGACTGTTTACTGCTCTCATTCAGTAAACATTGTGATTGTTATCTGTCTCCTGAGTTTATCTGAATGTGGGTCGGAACTCTTGTATAAATACTCTGGCATTTTGTTTGATGCGTCCCTCACTTTCAAACCCCATAAAGAAAATCAAGGGAAAAACTAAAACTTAATTTTTGGTTTTTATTATTCAGAAAACACAAAGCCAGCTTTTCCTAAAAAATAACAATAAAAGAACATTTATTTAGAAAAAGCAAACACATTGCAGCTGAAATTAATGTCTATAGGCTGGTCATTTTGTAGAGTTAATGATGCTGATGGCATTTAGGATAAATGTTTTTATTTCTAGACACCTATGGCCATGAGGACACAGTCATGGTCATCTTATAAATGTGGTTCCAGTGAAAAAAACAACTTGAACAAAATGAAATTAGAAGTTCTAATGTGGTTTGTCCCCAGGTTTGGTTTTATGTGATAAATGTGTTCAAGCAGCTATTTTTTTACAGAGTTGTTTATGTTCAGAGTCAGAGAGCCGTGTCTTTAACAGTCAGAGGTTTTTGTACGACGGCTTCATCAGTTTGTATCACTGTGGTACACGTTTGGTGGAGGAACCAGACTGGAGCTTGGAAGTAAGTAAAACTGTTTGGCACTATCTTCTTTTTTGTTTTGTGTTTTAATTTACCTTCATAATAGTTATGCTTTAGAGAAGAGTTTGATAAATTTATATATATTCACAAAAACAATGATAGGAGACACCTATATTTTCAAATCTATAAGTACATTATAATGCAATGTGTTTGTAACCCTATGGAATTATTACTGTATTTTGGTTTAAATTGTTTAATCTGGACTTGTTGGTTTTAGTTAAGTCTGAAGAGAGAATAAAAAAGGCTCATTCAGTTTTAGCATCACTGTGGAACACGGTCAGTGGAGAAACCAGACTGGAGTTTGGAAGTAAATTTGCAAAAACTTTAGGAATTAAAGAGATAATTATTTACTTTGAAGTTTTTTTTTTGAAGTTCTTTGGGTAGATATATATGTAATTCATATTACTTGATCAATTTATTTAAGTAAAATCAGTGTCAAGATTTACACTTTATTTTTAGAAAGTTTTGTTATGTTCTTATTTGACTCCATCTGTAATCTGAGACCTAAACTGTTAGTCTTTAAAACCTATAATAGGAGAAGAAAGTAGATTGTTATCTGATATCAATTTGCAGTAAAATGTCAATGAAATATTTAAGGTGGTAGATTATGTTTGGGCTGATACGCATGAGAACCTTCATGAAGGGAAGTGAAACATTAAGAGAAGAAGTGACTATTGGAGCAAAACGACATCTGGCAGGAACATCCTGCTACAGAGGATCACTGTTGGATCATTAAACTGTGTAGATTTTTTTGTATTATTGAGAGATTAATGATTTATATTTGGTTATTAAATCACAAATAATTTCAAATATTAAAAATTATTATATATTGAAAAATCTTTACTCTAGATGAAAAATATTTATTTCTTTAGAAAATGTAAACCTACTCAATGTATTCTTACAGCTGTCAAATCTTTGTAAAAATAAGTTTTTTGTAAATGTTAAAATCCATTTTCCGATTTGATATAAAACAGACTTTTTTGATATATAAAACAATGATATTTCATGTTTAATATTTATTGATTAATTCAAAGTGAAGTTTTAGGAGGTTTGTTAAATGGAAGTGAAACAATGTGTCTCAGTAACTGTTGGAACAGAAAAAAATATCTGGCGGAAATATTTTAGTAAAAAGCATCAAAGCTCTCATAGTCAAAGTTTCGTGGTGTCATTTCATGCCTTCCTGGTTCCTGTTCTCTAACCTGATTGGTGTCTCCTAGGTGATGCTCGTCCCACCCTGACAGTGCTGCCCCCCTCCAGTGAGGAGCTGCAGCAGGGGAAGGCCACCCTCATGTGTCTGGCCAACAAGGGCTTCCCCTCAGACTGGAGTCTGTCCTGGAAGGTGGACGGCAGCAGCAGCAGCAGCTGGGAGGAGAACAAGAGCCGAGGAGTGCTGCAGAAGGACGGCCTCTACAGCTGGAGCAGCACCCTGAGGCTCCCTGCAGACCAGTGGAGGAAGGTGGGCTCTGTGACCTGTGAGGCCACCCAGGGCTCCCAGTCTGCAGTCACAGAGACACTGAGGAGAGACCAGTGTTCCCATTGACAACCTGACTTGTTTTTTTTTTACTCTGCTACTTTTTAAAGTGTTTTACGGCCATGTTTATTGTCTGTGAAATGTGTATCAGATTTTATTCTTGAACCTTCTATTTCTTCTCATGATCCTCAATTTTTTTCAACATAATAAAAAACATAAACCATCACATTTGTTGTATGTTGAGTCAATAAAGTTTTAAATTTGGTATTCATGAAAATACATTTTCATACAGTTTGCTCAATTTAGTTCAACATGGTTCAACATGGACGATTTGGCCTTGGTCATTTCAGAAATTAGAGAGGATTCTTCTTCCTTATGCCATAAAGTATGGAGGACCAATCCTGCCATAATTGAAAATAAATACAGAAATAAATAAATGCTCCAAAAATTAATAAGCATACAAAAATACAATAAATGAATAAATGTAGGTAGACATAAAATCATACAGTGCGGCATAAATATATATCTCTTTTTAGTAGCTTCTTTGTTCATTTGCCTATGTAATAATTACCTTAGGAGGTAATTCCTGCTTTTCAGATAATAATAATTGATAATAATTGACACCAAGCTTATAGGAAGACAATGATTGTGCCCTCTTGGCCCAAGGAAGCAGTTTTAAATTCTTGCCGGTGCTACATAAAAAAAATATTTTGCTCACTAAATGTTGTTATACCTTCCATGCCTTTTTAAAGATTAATTCGATTTTTTTTTTTTTTTTTGTGAGAGACACAGCTCTCGGACTTAACAATCCTCTTAACAAAAGGATAATAACATTTATTATAAGTTTAAAAAAAGAAAAACAGTGGCTCAATATAAATCCATCATAAATTAGTTCAATCTGAAAAACTCACACAGAGAGAAAAGATAATTAGAAGAATTTATTGATAAGAAAGTATAGTCTTTGGCGCTCAGACCTCGGCAGGAACATTCATGCTGAATTATGCTTTAACATGCATGAGTAGATGAATGTGAATAGGGATGTTCCCCCCGGCCTGAAACTGGTGGTGGTTTAATCCGAGCTGGTTGACAAGGTGATCTGCTGGGCAGAATTGTGGGACTAGAAGACTGAGGGAGCTGACGTCGGGGCTTCACTCAGACTCGGGATATAGAGGTCCTGCTGTGATGCAGGTACCGTGAACTGTCCATGATGAGCAAGCATGAAGCGACAGTGGAGAGGAAAAACTCCCCTTGGGAAGAAACCTCTGGCAGAACCGGGCTCAACATGGTGGTCTTCTGCCGGACCAATGCGATGAGACGAGGGATGGTGACAACTGGGATTAATACTCTCTGATGAAGTTGAGGTGAAGTCGTGTCATGGAGGACGATTCAGCTGCGATGGCGGAGAAGGGGATGGAGGTGGGTGAATTGTCGTCTGAATCAAAATCCGACATTGCGATTGCAGGATAGCGGCTGTGGTGAGATTTGAGGGAGTTTATAAAGTGGAAGCAGGACGCTGATTGGGCTTCGTGGTGGAGTAGTTCGAAGCTGATTGGCTCGCTTCAGAGACGGATCGGCTTCTGATTGATGGAGGTAAGTCAGAGTTTCTTCAATTGAACTTCCGCTAGAGCTTAATTTGTCTTTAAATTATTTCTTGTGTGGATTCTCTCTTTTTATTCTATTTACTACTAGATGATTGATCAGTTTTTCTGTCATAAAGCATTTAGAACTCTGTTAGTGTTCCTCTTTGTCTGGGAGGTTTTTGTACAACGTTGTTTCACTGTGTGAACGGGTAGTAGCTATATTGCTGACAGTAATGAACTCCTGCATCTTCAGCCTGAACTCCACTGATTGTTAAAATGAAAGCAGTTCTAGATCAAATTCCACTAAAATGACCTGGAATTCCAAACTGACGAGATTAAGCTCTATAGATTAAAAGTTTAGGAGACTCTCCATCCTTCTGGAGGTACCAGCTGAGGAAGCTGCTAACACTGGAGTTGGTTTTACATCTGATGGAGACAGTCTGTCCTAAAACAACAGACTGAGGTCCTGGAGTCTGAGTCAAAACAGTGTCGCCTTATGAACCTGGAAAATAAATTAAAGGAATAACAAAAATTTGAAAGATTGCTGTTGGAGAAAGACAATAACAATAGTGCAAAAAGATGATATGTTCTTGAAGATTATAGAATTTATTAAAAATCTTTCAAATGAAGGATCATTATAATGTTTTATCCTGAGTTGATGTTTTCAGCAGAGAGTCTGACCCTGACACATATGCAAACACACAGAGTCAGTCACATGGAGTCATCATGTTTCCTCCTGAACACTGACGGGTTGCTGTCTATACATCAATTACCATGCAGTGAAATGATCTGCAGCTTGTGAATTAATAGCTTCTTTTTTTTACATTATCTTAAATGTTACAGTTAATATTCTATTAAAGACATGATTTTTGTGTAATTATACGGTTTCTAAATTCTTCAGGTAATCACATCGTTATTGGTAGAAAAAATCATTTGTACTTTCAAGTTACATCATGTAAAAATTAAAATCTTTCAACAGTATCTTGGAGAGTTATTTTCATTTTTTTTTGGATATTTATAATCCACTTGGTGATTTATGTTTAGCAAAATGCTGAATTTATATGTGAGAGTTATGCTTTTAGAGGTGAACATCTACATTTAAGGAGCTTATTATGAGTCTGCAGCAAATAAACACTGAAATGTTTTCATTTCCTAATCTTTGTCAAAAATGTTAACAACCAGCTGCTAAAGGTCATTTAAGTAAAGCATTCCCAATAAATATGATATTCTAATTGTATTGGTAGAGATTCTTTGTGAGTTTACACAGAGTGCAGTATGTGTAGAACGGTTTCTTCAGTGAACCGAATCAAACTCTGCAGCCATCAGTTCAGTTTCAGTTCTGTCTGACTGAGGGGGTTTTTGTACGACGGTTTTTCACTGTGAGAACATCCACTGACTGTTCACCAAGAATTCACCCTGACAGTAATAAACTGCAGCATCTTCAGCCTGAACTCCACTGATTTTCAGAGTGAAATCAGTGTTTGATCCACTGGCAGAGAAATGGGCTGGAGTTCCTGTAACTCTCTGATTGCGATAGCTAAAAATTAATTTAGGAGGCTCTCCATCTCTCTGTTGGTACCAAAACTGATCTTCTCCATCATCGACTCTGTGACTGGTTCTACAGTTGATGGTAACAGATCCTCCCAGATCAGCTCTCACTGCTGCAGGCTGAATCACTGTGACCTGACCTCTGGACTCTGAGGACACAGAGACAAAAACATAAAGCAGCTTCATGGTTTGTTGGCTTCATTTCAGAGGGACAGATGTACATAGAGGAGAGGAGTTTGATTCTCTGGACTTTACCTGTGAAGCAGCAGCAGAGGAGAGTCCAGATGAGGACGCAGATCAAAGTCATGTTTTTGATGAGGAGGATTTCTGTGTCTTCTGTTGTCATGAAGGACAGCTGTCAGTCATCCAGTGTTCAACTCTCAGGACTATAAACTCTCCCAGAGCGCTGGAGCATGGAGCTGTTGATGCAAAGTGGCTCTATGGAAATACTCTGACTCTGAGTCCAGCAGGGATTCAGCATCTAAGGCATGATGCTATTAATATAGCAATTTCATTTTTTTACATAAAAAATTATGATGCAGTCAGCTTACCTACAGACAAAGCCCAGGTAATTGTGTTAATGCCAGATTTAGAAAATAATCTTTAAGTAGTTATTAAACTAATTTTCCATTTAGCTCACATTATTGTATCCAAAACCTTTTTTTTTGTTCTGATGTAATTGACCAATATTTAACTAAATTAAATGTTGTGTTTTCTTTATCTTTGGACATAAAAATCATCAAAGCAGAAACATTTTGAAAACCTCAGACGGTGTTTGATAAGTTTGTATGTTTCACTTAGTGAACTTAGTTACTGTACTAAATAACACAAACCTCTTAAAATATGTGTATTAATTGAGATCTGCCTGTTGACTACATTTTTGCTATTTTTGAAATGTTGTTTTCTTGTCATTTTTCTGATGTATTTTTGCATCAAACATATCAAACATAGCTGATCACTGGTTCAATGTCAAAAACACTGATTATAAATCACTACAGGAAAGTTTGGCACCATTTCTATCAATTATAAGAAGTTTCATCGAACATTTATTATATATTGTCTTATAGTTAGGAAAAAAATTTATATGTTGTTTGTATTCATCAATTTCACATCCAAGCTAAATGTTCTGTGTAATGTAAATGTTTTATGTTCATACTACTTCATGATATTTCCCATAAAGCTGATGTTTTGGTTAATGGGTTTGTGTCAGAGTCAGAGAGCCGTGTCTCTCTACAGTCAGAGGTTTTTGCACGACCACTCAATGAGTTTGTATCACTGTGGTGGACTTTTAGTGGAGGAACCAGAGTGGATTTAAAATTTATCTTATATTGCGATGTGCCTTTTGTATAAAAAAATATTTCGGGGAGAAGCTCGGATTAGACTAGTTGCTCCTCTTCGAAAAGAGCAAGCTGGCTCAAACATACACTATATTGCCAAAAGTATTTGCTCACCTGCCTTGACTCACATATGAGCTTAAGTGACATCCCGTTCCTAATCCATAGGGTTCAATATGACGTCGGTCCACCCTTTGCAGCTAGAACAGCTTCAACTCTTCTGGGAAGGCTGTCCACAAGGTTTAGGAGTGTGTTTATGGGAATTTTTGACCATTCTTCCAGAAGCGCATTTGTGAGGTCGCACACTGATGTTGGACGAGAAGGCCTGGCTCTCAGTCTCCGCTCTAATTCATCCCAAAGGTGTTCTATCGGGTTGAGGTCAGGACTCTGTGCAGGCCAGTCAAGTTCATCCACACCAGACTCTGTCATCCATGTCTTTATGGACCTTGCTTTGTGCACTGGTGCACAGTCATGTTGGAAGAGGAAGGGGCCAGCTCCAAACTGTTCCCACAAAGTTGGGAGCATGGAATTGTCCAAAATGTCTTGGTATGCTGAAGCATTCAGAGTTCCTTTCACTGGAACTAAGGGGCCAAGCCCAGCTCCTGAAAAACAACCCCACACCATAATCCCCCCTCCACCAAACTTTACACTTGGCACAATGCAGTCAGACAAGTACCGTTCTCCTGGCAACCGCCAAACCCAGACCCGTCCATCAGATTGCCAGATGGAGAAGCGCGATTCGTCACTCCAGAGAACGCGTCTCCACTGCTCTAGAGTCCAGTGGCGGCGTGCTTTACACCACCGCATCCGACGCTTTGCATTGCACTTGGTGATGTATGGCTTGGATGCAGCTGCTCGACCATGGAAACCCATTCCATGAAGCTCTCTGCGCACTGTTCTTGAGCTAATCTGAAGGCCACATGAAGTTTGGAGGTCTGTAGTGATTGACTCTGCAGAAAGTTGGCGACCTCTTCGCACTATGCGCGTCAGCATCCGCTGACCCCGCTCCGTCAGTTTACGTGGCCTACCACTTCGTGGCTGAGTTGCTGTCGTTCCCAAACACTTCCATTTTCTTATAATACAGCTGACAGTTGACTGTGGAATATTTAGGAGCGAGGAAATTTCACGACTGGATTTGTTGCACAGGTGGCATCCTATCACAGTTCCACGCTGGAATTCACTGAGCTCCTGAGAGCGACCCATTCTTTCACAAATGTTTGTAAAAACAGTCTGCATGCCTAGGTGCTTGAATTTATACACCTGTGGCCATGGAAGTGATTGGAACACCTGATTCCAATAATTTGGATGGGTGAGCAAATACTTTTGGCAATATAGTGTATGTTACGGATGCCTTCTGGTCGCCTCCCATGTCCCATTTGAAATAGGCCTCGTGGAATGCCAAGGACATGCTGGAGGGACTACTGTATATCTCTGAGCTGGCCTAGTGTTGCCTCAGGGTCCCCCCAAGAACAGCTGGAGCAAGAGTGTGTGGATCGGGAAGTCCGGGAGTCTTTGCTTAGTCCCATGTCTCAAACTGTAAAAAATTATTTACTTTAGATTGAAAATATATTTTGCTTTTGACAATGTAAATCTACTAAACATACTTTTAGAGCTATAAGATTATTGCATAAAATTGACAAAAAGGTAGTTTTTTGTAAATGTGAAAATCTGCTTTGTTGATTTAATGTAAAACAGACTTTATTCAATACATATAACAGTGATATTTCATGTTTATTACTTATTGATTAATTCAAAGTAAAGTTATAGGGGGTAAATGGAGGTAAAACAATGTGTCTCAATAACTGTTGGAAGAAAAAAAAAAAACATCTGTCGGAAACATTTTCGTAAAAAGCAATAAGACTGTGAAAATTTTCCCCTTTCTCCATGCAGCCTGGAACACTGCATTTATGCCCATGGTTCTGGCTCATTTTCAATAGAGAAATTGCCTTCGTTGTAATTCTTGTAGAAGTAAACCCAACTGTAGGCTAAAAAGCTAAACTGATGTCTTACATCTACCTCTATTCATGTTCTTGGGCCAGTGAACCAGTGGGCTGGTCTGGATGTCAAGCGTGTAAAGAAAATGAATGGATGGATGGATGCTTTACAAGGACATTCTGCACACATGTAGGACAACACTCATGAACGCAAGTATGAAAGATGTTATGGTTGAATTAGCTTGTAAGTTTCTACTAACAACAAGAACACCACACTTATCTTCCATCATAAATCTACTTCTTGTTCACCGTTAACTCGTCTAAACAAAAGAAATCAACTATAGAGCTTTCCAGTGGAATAGTAGGAGGGAATCCCACATCCAGCCCTTATGACCTCTACAGACGGTCATCCCAGTAAAAACACTGGTGAAGGACAAGCTAGACTAGAGTAACAACCTTTTATGACCCATTAAGTTTAAACTTTTCATAAGAAACAAAACATTTCAAATGAAAATATCTGTTATGTATTTTCAGAATGAAAATTGACTGGTAGTACCGGTAACAGTTTACAGTAATCGTGAACATTATGGTAACATAAAAGTAATCTGCAAAATATAATGAAAAAAACACACAAGCTCAAGGTAAGTAGAGCCTAGTCATACATATATTTTTCTAGCAAACATACCTTTTGCATTGGGCGGGTGTAAGTGCCTATAGGTTTAAAACTTTCCTTTTTGATAAAGCCTATAGTTAGAGTGACTCAGGTCATCCTGAGCTATCTCTATAGTTATGCTGCTGTAGGCTTAGACTTCTGGAGGACATAGGGACACCTATTTCATAATTTTGCTTCATTCTATTTTTAGTCTCCCACTCTGCAGAATCTGTTAGTTAAATCTCTAACATTATGCTCTCTCTGCTTTTTCTCATAGTAGCTTTGCCTCGTCTGTTCCTGTTTGGCTGTGACTCCATCCTGGAGAGAAAATCAGCTGTGCTGCTGCCATCATCACCTTTGTTTATAGATGTTGGAGATCAGCCTGTTTTTCAGTGTAGTCCTGTTTGTCTGACTGTGATTGCCTGGATGTACTCTATTCATCCTCTGACATGCGAGTTGTTTCGGAGCTTGTCTGCCTGGCTGTGTGTTTCCTGGACAGGGCCACCTGTGGAGTTGCTTTTTTAATCTCTGCTTCTGTCTTCTTGAACCCAAGTCGACCTCGGCGGATGGCTGCTCACACTGAGCCTGGTTCTGCTAAAGGTTTCTTTCTATTAAAAGGGAGTTTTTCCTCTCCACTGTCGCTACAAGCATGCAGGATTGGGTGAGGGATTGCATTAAATTCAATGAGTCGATGCAATCCACTTTTTTTCCTTAGATAGAAAACTTTGAATCAATTTGACTGTATGACCTGGTGAATTGTAAGGTGCCTTGAGATGACATGTGTTGTGAATTGTCATTATATAAATTAACTGAATTGAATTGATTATATGAGTCCTCACTAGCACTTATCATACTCGTCAATCAGCTCCAATGTTAACATCAGTGACCAAACCAAGTGGCCACTGGCGGTGAGGTGTGGATTCTTGCAGTATCTTTACAAGGTCTAACATCTGCATGAATCAAAAGGTGCAAGTCTAAGAACTGAATAGCAAGGTGACTACTTACAGCATGCGTCTTCGTAAAACCCCAGAGGGTTTCTCGGGCAATGTCCCCTATAAACACACAATTGAAGGGAAACAGGAATTGTTCCTCAACTCTATTCATAAGATCAACTAAATTATAAGATCTAAACGTAAGCTTTTGGTACCTCTGTAAACAAAGCTTTTAGGACCTGCAGGTTATTCTATGGTTTTGCTTTGGGTTTTTTTTTATAGTTTGCCTCATTCAGGTTATTTTTTTTTCAGATAACACTTATCCAAATCTTTTGTATAATTAAAGCAAATTATGGTATGGATAAGTTAAAGCACATTTGAACCATGATGGTTAAAATGAGCAATTGTGCCAGGTGGATCATTGTGACACAATACTAAAACCGTGATCTAGTCGAATGAAATTGCGGATTTGTATTGGATTACTGGTGCCAATTATAGAGCCTGTGTTTAAAACATTTACACTGTATATAATTGAACATTGTAAAAAGTACCTGAACAACACAGAATGGGTGTTTCACAGATCTACTATTTGTTACCTAATGGTGCAGTGAAAATACAGGTTCAAATCCTATACAAGGTCTCCATCTAGTGTCCTTAGGAGAAAATAAACTCTACGAATATTAAACAAAAACATATGGAGATATGATGGAAAGAAAAAGAAGCAGTGAGAAATTAGAGTTTTTATTTCTTCTTTGGTTTTTCTAAATGTTAGCAGTCCTCACAGCTTAAGGGACAGCTCTACCGTGTTCTGATCTAGACAAGGTCTTTATACGGTCAAAGTAAGCTGGACTTTGCAGGTATTCTTAAAGTAATAAATGGTTTTAGAGATCTGACCCACATGCAGAGAACCACTCAGAGACCAAGAGAAAAAGTTTAACAGGTTTAATGTAGAAAAACACTGAATAGGAAGATGGAACTCAGCGGACTGGTGAACAGAAACCGGAAAATCTGAAGGGGAGTTCACAGTGATCAGTTCAAGGACTGTAGGAAAAATGACTGAGGCTTGATTTTGCTGGAGATAAACTTACTTTTGGGGGGCTCCTTGTTAATCCATTAATCCAGTTTGTGGGGGTTTAATCCAGAGAAGAGGGAACTCGTTGGAGAGCGGACAGGCAGACACATGTTGGACCCAGAGGAGTACAGGAGCGGACTGTCACTTGGTTTTCCAGATGAGAACTTGAACTGATGGTGTGGAGGTTTTCCCCTGCTCAGTGTGAACTCAGTAAATCCTTCCAGGGGGAGAAGGTCCAGGCTATCCAGTTACACAGGAAGGCTTCCTGCCGAAGAGCAAAGACAAAAAAGCAAGATAAGACTCAGAGTAACAATGCTAAGGTTTAGACTCTGCTAATCTAAGCTTGGCTAGAGTACCCAAAACTGGCAAACACTCTGCCGTCCAGATAGTGACAGCCTGCTGCTCAAGTACTCCTCCAGTAATGACCCAACGAGCAGCAGGTGTGCTGGGAGGCCCAACGAGGACAGTGGTGGAGAGAGGAAAACACAAAAACAACCCACACAAACTGGAATCCTAACAAATTTTGGGACAGTACACTGTTCTGGAAAGCTGATGAAAATCGTTTTCTTTAGTTTCAACAAAAGGAATTCCCAACTTAAATCCAGAATATATTTATTAAAAATAATTATTCAATTATTTCTATCAATCCAATTTAATTGTAATTGTATCTCTTACAGGAACAAAAGTACTCAAATTTCTTTGACTATTAAACATTTAATTTTAATTAAGTTTTGGATTATCGTGGCATAACAGGAGGTATAATTTAGTTGTTATATTGGTCTGTATTCCCCTGAAAAAAATCTATTCTTTAAAAATGAATGGATTAAATTGTGAGCAATTTATTTTTTTATGTAGCACCGTCAAGAATATAAATTGTTTTCGCGTCTGACTTTGGTCAAAAGGACACAATCTTGGTCTTTTCATAAACTTGTTTTCAATTAAAAAACTAACCCAGCAATAAAAAAATGAATTAAGTTCTAATATGGTTCTAGTTTTGTCCCCAGGTTTGGTTTTATATGAGAAATGTGTACAAGCACATTTTTTTAAAGAGTTGTTTATGTTCAGAGTCAGAGAGCCGTGTCTTTAACAGTCAGAGGTTTTTGTACGACGGCTCTATCAGTTTGTATCACTGTGGTACACGTTTGGTGGAGGAACCAGACTGGAGTTTGGAAGTAAGTAAAACTGTTTCTTACTATTCTCTTCTTTGGTATTTTTTTTCTTTTTAATTTAATTTCATAATTGTTAGAATGTGGAAATAATTTTGGTAAACAATTTCTTAATTTACAAAACACTGATAGGAGATATTAAGGCGATTATATATTTTCAAATCTAAAACCAAAATATAATATGAATGTCCCACCATGGATTTATTAGTGCATCTTAATTTATATTTTGTAAACCAGACATGTTGGATTTAGTTAAGTCTGTAAAGTCGTAGAGCTGCGTCTCTAACAGTCAGAGGTTTCTGTAAAACGGCTCATTCAGTTTTTGTATCACTGTGGTACACGGTCAGTTGGGAAAACACTACGGAGTTTGGAAATAAGGCTGCAGAATTTTAAGGAGTAAATAAAAAATTACATCATATCGTTTAAAATATTAATTTCACTTTTTCTTTTTGCGATTTAAAAAACATGTATTGGCCAGTACCTTGACCTATGCAATACATACGTACAATCAAAGTCAAGATCTGTAATTTAGTTCTCAAAAGCTATTTTATTTCCATAATTACTGATATATAACATCCTGTGGAATAGTCGTGGAACATGAAAAAAAAAGAAGAACCTAAATGTAAAATGTATTGGGTACATTTTCAAAATAAATTCTAGTGAGAAATGTATGATTAAAATGTCAATAAAAATATTAAAAGTTTTTCTTTAAAGTCTGAGTTAAATATGTACGGTTATGATAAGGCTGATATGCATGAGGTGATTCACGAGGAGAAGTGAAACATTAAGTGAAGAAGTGACTGTTGGAGCAAAAAGACATCTGGCAGGAACATCCTGGTAGAGAAGATCACTGCTGTATCATTAAAATGCTTAGATTTTTTTCTGCTTAACTGACAGATTTCTTTGTCGTGTTCTCTAACCTGATTGGTGTCTCCTAGGTGATGCTCGTCCCACCCTGACAGTGCTGCCCCCCTCCAGTGTGGAGCTGCAGCAGGGGAAGGCCACCCTCATGTGTCTGGCCAACAAGGGCTTCCCCTCAGACTGGAGTCTGTCCTGGAAGGTGGACGGCAGCAGCAGCAGCAGCAGCTGGGAGGAGAACAAGAGCCGAGGAGTGCTGCAGAAGGACGGCCTCTACAGCTGGAGCAGCACCCTGAGGCTCCCTGCAGACCAGTGGAGGAAGGTGGGCTCTGTGACCTGTGAGGCCACCCAGGGCTCCCAGTCTGCAGTCACAGAGACACTGAGGAGAGACCAGTGCTCCCAGTCCTGAGCTGATATAATATGTTTTATTCTGCTACTTATCACTTGCTTTAAAAAGCCTTTTGGATCTCATTTGAACATTTTCTGTTACTTGTTCAAAAGCCAAACATATTAAAATAAAAACCAGTTATTGTTCCTGTATTGTCTTTGAATTTAATTAAACTACATCAGCCATAAATGTTGGTCAATGTTGTTAATTGCTACCTTAATGAATAAAGACAAAAGAAGAGACACAGAATAGCCAGTCAAGCAGATACATTAGCTTTCTGTGTAACTTTTCATACTTTTTATCACTGAAGTATTTTGATGATAAGATGGAAAAACTAATGCAACCGTTTTTGGCATTTATTTAATCATATTTAGTTACTTTAACACATTTGTTTCATGTTAGCAGGTTAGGACATAAAACAATTGTGTTAAAGTAACTAAATATGACTAAGTAAAAGCCAAAAGTGGCTGCATTATTTTTGTTAGGTTGTTTTTTAGTTCGAGTCTTAATAAATTTAATGAACATTCACCAAACTACAAAAGAGGCTTTCAGATAACCTTTTATATTATTAAGATTTATTTATATAGCGCCTTTCAAGATGAATATCACAGATAAAATAAAAACAACTAAAAGACATTTTAGAGATTTAAGTTGTCCTGTAATAGAACACTTGACTATTAACCAAACACCTAAACAAACAATTTAAGATTCTTTTGGGGGCCATTGGTGGTGCAATGGTTATCACACCCGACCCATGTCTGGAGGCCTTAGTCTTGGAAGTGGGTGAACGGGGTTTGATTCCGGCATGTAGTCCATGTCTCTTCCACTCTCTCTATCCCTTTCCTGTCAGCCTACTGTCTGTAAAATAAAACCACTAGTGCTGTAAAAGCTGAAAAAAACAGCAATATTTATAAATCCAGAGGCTGAGAATGCTAAAAAAAAACAGAGAGATAAGGAAAAAACTGAAACTTAATTAACATTTACCATCAAAGTAAAAATTTGAGCTTTTTGAAACCTTTAAAGATCTGTAACTGACTAAGCGCTGCATTTTTGCAGAACTGGGTTATTGCCCTAGCCTGGGTGCCAGTCCGAACTTAGTCCCGCCCAAAAAGTTTGAGGTCGGGGAAGTTCGGTCTGGCTCTGCTCCATAGTAGCGCGAGTATTATCGCCCACTGTCAGGCGATCCAATCAAATTGTCAGGGCGGGCTTTATACGATGATGGACAGATGACAAACAGTAACGTAATCAACCACGTGGCCAATGCGCGCTTGGGTGACAACAATAATGGCTGCCGCTGGAGAGTTTAGGTGAGTAGATTCTGCTATTAGGTCTGTTCTAGAACATATCGACAGCAAATTAATTTTAAAAGAGGAACAGAGAAACGCGATCAAGTCTCATCTTCTTATTATAGGCGTGCAACTGCACGCTTTGATTTTTGTGGACAACAACTATGCCTCGCTTAACATACATCACGCACTCCGTTGCTCTTATTGGTTGTAGGTCTATCCAATTGAGTGCAGAGGCATTTTTTTTCCTGGTTCGTTCGAAACACGCCCCATAATCACAGCTCTATGGAGCAGTATCAGACTCATATTCTGACTAGAATTGAGTCGGACTACGTCAGGCTATTATTGCCCCCGAGTTACAGCAAATAATGCTCAGTAATTATATTACTTTTAGGCCTAAATATAATTAATCTGGGGGTCCTGTTTAATAAATAACACACGGAAGAAAGATCATTGCAGGTATTCTTACAACCCATTTCATCCTTAAGCTTTGTTATATTTCTTTCTAAATTGTGTTTTACTCTTAATTTTAATTTACAAAAACAAAATAATGATATAAAATAATATATATAAATAAATAATATATAACTGAATTGTTAAATACTTTGTTATGAATAGAATATGTGAAAAACCAAAACAGTGATCGCAATTAAAAGTTAAAAATTTTCTGCTTTGGTTCCTATGAGCCAGACACAGAAAGACGAAACACCTCAGTAAACAGTAAAGTAAAGTAAAGAATTCATTAGAAATGCAGTTAATGAAAACGCTGTAAAGCAGAAAGCTAAAGACAAAATAAAAAGTCATTTTTTGCAGAACATTTTTTAAACTGAAATCACACTAAATGCGATGCAAACGTGAGATCATAATTTTCAGACCTCTGTGCTGTAATCCTGCAGGCATACATTGAGTTAAGAAACGTGAAGAAAATTTTTTTGAAAATTAGTCGAAATGTCAAATTTCGATTGTGATATATCGCTGTGTTAACTGTGAGCTCCAATCCTGCTGACAGTAATAAACTCTGCATCTTCAGCCTTAACTCCGCTGATAGTCAGAGTGAAATCAGTTCCAGACGGACTTCCACAGTTTTAACTTTGAAAATGTTGTCATGCAACTCTAAAGACAGAAATTTAGACTTTACCTGTTAAAAATAATTGGTTTTAGCATATGATTCTACTCTTCTTAGTGCATAATTAAAACAATCCTTTGCTACTGGGGCATGAACTAGATTCATTAAATGATTTAGAAAAATCATAGTGTTTCTTAAACTTAGAACAATCAAACCTTTTTGCATTCATACTGAACTTTTTATCTGTTTTCTTTTTTCACTTAACTGAAATATGTTTATATATATATACTATTTATATAATAAATATTTACTTTTTTCATAATTGTTAACATTTTATTTTGAGTGAAATGTTTAGAAAAACACTTATACTGCTACTGATTCAGATCAGTTCCTCTTTGTCTGGGAGGTTTTTGTACAACGCTATTTCACTGTGTGAACGGGGAGTTGTAACACTGCTGACAGTAATAAACTCCTCCATCTTCAGCCTGAACTCCACTGATTGTTAAAGTGAAAGCAGTTCCAGATCCGCTTCCACTGAAACGACCTGGAATCCCAGACTGACGAGATGAAGCGTGATAAATTAAAAGTTTAGAAGACTCTCCATCCTTCTGGAGGTACCAGCTGAAGCACGCCAACACTGGAGCTGGTTTTACAGCTGATGGAGACAGTCTGTCCTAAAACAACAGACTGAGATCCTGGAGTCTGAGTCACAATGATGTCGCCTGATGAACCTGGAAAATACATTTTCACTTTTGGTAAATAAAAGAAGAATAGTGCAAAAAGATGATCTGTTCTTGAAGAAAGGAGAATGTGACGAATCATTATAATGTTTTATCCTGAGTTGATGTTTTCAACAGAGAGTCTCACCCTGAACCAGGAGCTCCAGGATGGTCAGCAGTAGAGTCAGTAACATCATCATTGTGCTGCTGGTGGTCCAGTGGCTCTGAAAGGCCTGGACAGCCTCTGATCAACACTGACCTCTTAACAGCTGGGAGCAGAGAGGGAGGACACATATGCAAACACACTGAGTCAGTCACATGGAGTCATCATGTTTCCCCCTGAACACTGACGGGTTTCTGTCTATATATCCATATATCTATATATCTATATAGCTTCTCTTTTTACAGTATCCTGACTTTTACTGTTCATATTCTATGAAAGACATTATTTTTATTTAATCATACTATTTTTAAATTTCTAAATTAGAATTAGATGTTTTAAACACTGCATATCAATGTAATGCAAGAATTACATTTTTGCCATTAGTGGGGGAAATATGTGGGAAAATATTGCTGATGTTCATTTATTACATCTTCTGAAACTAATAATCAAGGATCAAGTAGTCACACAGTTATTGGTAGAAAAATAATTTATTTTTTTCCAGTTATATCATGTATAAATTACAGGTCTTTCAACAGGATCTTGGGAAGATTCTGCTTTTTTTATGGGGATATTTATGATCTACTTTGTGATTTATGTCCAGCAAAATGCTGAGTTTATATCTGAGAGATGTGCTTTAAGAGGTACACATTTACATTTTAGATTATTTTTTAGGGTCTGCAGCAAATAGTTAAACACTGAAACGTTTTCATTTCCTAATCTTTTTCAAAAATATTAACAACCAGCTGCTAAATGTAATTTAAGGAAAGCATTCCCAATAAATTATATTTTTATTATATTGGCAGAGATTATTTTTGATTTTACACAGAGTGCAGGTGGGGATGTGTGTTGAACGGTTTTTTCAGTGAACTGAAGAAACATATCTCATCAATTTGTCAATTAGATTGGCAGTTGTCCCATCAGGCTGGAAGGTGGCCACAGTCTCACCAATTTCTAAATCAGGAGACAAAACAAATATTTTAAACTATCGCCCCATCAGCATTCTCCCTGTTGTATCTAAGGTCGCAGAAAAGTGGATTTCCAAACTGTTAAACGAACACCTCAGCAGAGGCCGCTCTCTCCTGAACCCCATGCAATTTGGGTTTCGCCAGTACCACTCCACAGAGACAGCAAACTGTGTCTTCATAGAAACAGTGAAATCTTTGCTTGATAAAACCACCTGTGTTGGTGCTGTGTTTTTGGATTTCAAGAAGGCATTTGATACTGTAGACCATCAAGCACTTCTGTCCAAACTGACTCACTTCAACTTCGCAGATGATGCCATAGCTTGGTTTAAATCTTACTTATCCAACAGAAAACAATCTGTGAGTGTTGGTGGCACTATGTCATCCTACCTTGAATGTCCAGCAGGGGTCCCACAAGGTTCTATTTTGGGACCAGTATTGTTCTCCCTATATATAAATGACCTCCCAGATGTTTGCCAAAATGTCCAATTCCAAATGTATGCTGACGATGATGTTATTTTTACATCTGCTAAAAGCACTCAGGAAGCATCATCCGTCCTCACATCAGCCCTGGACAATATACAGCCCTGGCTCCTTCAATCCTGTCTGTTACTGAACAAAAAGAAAACTGTTTCTATGATGTTCACAAAAAAACCCATAAAACTTGAGCGGTCCAATGTGTTCCTGGGGGGAGTGGAACTTCAGCTTGTAGAAGAGTTCAAGTACCTCGAGGTCACACTGGACACAACACATTCACTTAAAAAAACACACTGCAAACACAATTACATTTAATATACATAAATTTAAGCAAATCAGATCATGGATGACAATCAGTTCTGCTAAAATGTTCCTACACTCAATGATATATTCACACAGACTACTGCATCACAACCTACTCACCCACTGGAGACACAACTTTAAAACCAATAGAAATATTATTCAAAAAATCTTTAAAAATCTTTGATCAAAAGCCCCTGTTATTCCATCAGTGTAATATTTTGGAAAAATATAATATGCTCAATTTTGAAAATTTTTTTTATTTTAAAAATAGTTGTTTAATTTACAAAGTTCTGAATGGATTAGCCCCGCCTCCACTTTCTACCTAGATTAAACCTGGCAGACGTATTTGCACCAGAGCCTTCCTCCAGAGGAGACCTACAGTAGAGATCCCCCACAGAAGAACAATCTTTGGACAAACCGTTCTATCTGTCAGAGGGGGTTACTTCTGGAACAGCCTCCCAACAAAGATCAGGGAATGTCCCACTTATTGCACATTTAAAAAGAACCTTAAACAGTTTCTTAAAAGTTCCCAGTCATGGACTCACTAATTTTATTTTTGTAATGACATTGTCTGAATGTGTGTCTATGTGTTTTGACAGATATTGTATTAAATGGTAAATGGCCTGTACTTCTATAGCTCTGTCCTGATTAAATAAATACATATATAAAATAAGTAAAAACTGAATCAAACTCCGCAGCCATCAGTTCAGTTTCAGTTCTGTCTGACTGAGGGGGTTTTTGTACGACGGTTTTTCACTGTGAGAACATCCACTGACTGTTCACCAAGAATTCACCCTGACAGTAGTAAACTGCAGCATCTTCAGCCTGAACTCCACTGATTTTCAGAGTGAAGTCAGAGTTTGATCCACTGCCTGTAAAACGACTTGGAGTCCCTGATGCTCGAGTGCTAGCATAATAGATGAGCAACTTAGGAGTTTGTCCATCTTTCTGTTGATACCAGGCTAAACGGTTAGACCTATAGACACTGTGACTGGTTCTACAGTTGATGGTAACAGATCCTCCCAGATCAGCTCTCACTGCTGCATTCTGAGTCACTGTGACCTGACCTCTGGACTCTGAGGACACAGAGACAAAAACATAAAGCAGCTTCATGGTTTGTTGGCTTCATTTCAGAGGGACAGATGTTCATAGAGGAGAGGAGTTTGATTTTCTGGACTTTACCTGTGAAGCAGCAGCAGAGGAGAGTCCAAATGAGGACGCAGATCAAAGTCATGTTTTTGATGAGGAGGATTTCTGTGTCTTCTGTTGTCATGAAGGACAGCTGTCAGTCATCCAGTGTTCAACTCTCAGGACTATAAACTCTCCCAGAGCGCTGGAGCATGGAGCTGCTGATGCAAAGTGGCTAAACGGAAATAATCTGACCGAGTCAAACATAGATTTTGCATTTAAGTGACGAAATTATTTATTAGTGACGCAAATACATTTTATTTGGAATTAAAACGTGAAGCATTTTGAGTTTTTTAATCTTTAAGATAAACTTTCAAGTATCATTCTTTACATTTAAAAAATATCAGTTAGCAGTTTCCAGTGCATTGTTTTCCTAAATTTAAATTATTAAAGGAATAGTCCCGTCAGCAAGGAACAATCAATGGATCATTATCTATACCTAAAAATAATACATGAGCAGTGATTTAATTAATTAAGTGTTAATAATTAAAAAATAGAAATAATAATGTTTTTCAGAATCACTAATTTTGTGAGTGGTAATTTTTGCCCAATTATAGTAACACCTCACTCTTGACATCTTCCGGCAGTGACGCTTTAAAGCAGAATCAATGGGAACTACTAGACACATCTGCAATCACCAACAATTATTGAAGATTTCTAGAGGACTTCACCACTGAAATTCACCAGAGCTATAGTGAAACTGACAATGCCCATTTCCATGGCAGCTGGATGTTGTAATACGTTGGGTAAAAGTGAAAAAAGACATTGTTATTTCACCTTTCTGATTCATTATCCACCACTTGTTCGTCATCAGTTTGCCAAACTGAAGAGGGAGGATTTGCCATCAAACATGTAATATGTAGCCTACATTTGGAAAAATATTGTTTTCCAGATGACTTGGATGATAGCACATTGTGGCAAACACCAGATACAGTATTGGGACTTGCTTAACAGCCGATTTCGCACCGTGACGTCACAACCCGGTAGGTGGCAGTAGTGTTCTTTGACAAACATGGATGCCTCCAGCAAAGCACATTCTAATGAAAATTACTCTTGATTAAAAAACAATTATCATTTATTGAACAGTATGTAATTGTTTAATATTTAGAACACTTTCAGAAGTTTGAATTCTGAATATGACTGGACTTCTCCTTTTATCTTCTAGTTGAACTTAACAGACAGACAGACAGACAGACAGACAGACAGACAGACAGACATACTGACTGACTGACTGACTGACTGACTGACTGAAACGATCAGGGACAACAGTTTGCCTTGGAACAACAGACTGAGATCCAGGAATCTTGGTTATACTGACTTGACCTGAAGATCCAAGAAACATTTTGTTGCAGAAAAGTTGAGCTTAATGAAACTATATCCCCATCAAAACCAAAGCTGATTGATATGTATCCTGGGTAACATGGTTAAATCTTAAGAAAGAGTGTTCAGCAGAGAATCTTGAATGGGATATATACAGTATATACAGTGCGTCCACATGTTTTTTATAGCCGCATTATAATACAGGGTTATTGCACAGGGTGTTGACATGGGTATTTATATAGATGGATATTTATATATATAGCTATTGCACTGCGTGCATATTTGCATTAAATAAGTTCAAGTTTTGTTTTCTATGGTGCAGCAGATGGCAAAGTGTTGGAACATTTTTAAAAACACCAGTTTTGCCGCAAATGCATGTGGCTGTTGTATCTGTAGTTTAGCAACAATGGCATTGATTGCATCACATAAAATGTTGGCCATGCCAGAAGGTGGAATGTAAACCGTTACTAAAACAACAATGGTAAACTCTGGGAAAATAATATGGCCAAAAAACAACTGCCAACAGTTCAATATCTGGGCTGCAGTAATAAATGCAGTAATAAATCTTCAGAGTAACATTCCCTGGATGACACCAACTGTTGTTCACAAGCACTGCCAATCCACCTTGTTGTGGTTTTCCAGTATTCTTTAAATCCCTGTCTGCTCACATGGTGAAAAAGCCTCACAAAGAGACGCTGGAGTCTGGCATAAGATTCTGCAGCCAGGTTTCAGTAAAACACATATTGTAGCATTGCCAATATTATCTGGCTGGGACTTGCTAGGATTTCAAGTTCTTCTATTTTTTTTACTAAAGATCTCACATTCCCCATGATGATTGATGGAAGAGATGGCTTAAATGTCTTCTGTCTCTCTCTTCTCCTTGCTCCTGCTCTGCATGCCCTGCACCTCCTTTTCAGCTCAGCCGGTACTTGTGCAAGAAGTTGAAGTATTATTAAAGCTTTACAGATATATTTGCTTTTCCTTTGTGTTAACAAAAATCTATTTGCCATGGTTGCTGTGATTATGTGTCATAACAAGTATCAAAGAGAAAAAATTTCAGGAAAAAAATACTTTGAGTTTCACAGCACTAAACAAATCCACAAACGGAGGAACTAAAGTTATCTTTAGAACAATATCAGAGTCAAGCTAGCAGAGCTATTCCAATACACATCCACCTTAAGCACTGCAATTTAATATAGATTAATCATTATTTAATTAATTCATTCAGTTATAAACATGACTAACGTTTAATTTACACAATGACCTTTTTGTGCGTGTTTTTGTGTGTTGCTCTGTTATTGACAGACATAAGGTTCAGAATGAATTTAACCTCTCATCCACTAAACAGGCTGTCTATAGCCACCTGTATATAGGTTCAGTGTTTGAGGCTGAATTAAGTCTTCCAATTTTGACCCTTGGCCTAGCCTTAGTTAAAATGAAACAGTCTCTGAATGGAGAAAATATCTTCCTTTAGAGAAACTATGCCCTTAGGTCCTTTACTGGGAAGTTGCAGTCTCTTTGGTAAAACAGAATTTCTGATTTTATGAAATTTTGATAAATAGAACATCCACCATTTAGAGTTTCTAAGAATATTTGTCAGATAAGCTTTACAAAAAATATGACATACTAAATGCTGACATATATATGACGTACTAAAAATATGATAGATCTACTGTAAATGCTTGATGACAGAAAAACTGATCAGTCATCTACTAGTAAACAGAATAAAAAGAGAGAATCAACACCAGAAACCATTTAAATACAGATAATTTTTGATGCATTTATATTGAGCCATTGTTTTTTTTAAATAAGGTTTTTAAACTTATAATAAATGTTCTTACCCCGTTGATGTGTTAGTGTCAAAGTCAGAGGTGCCAAAGTCTCTCATTTAGCTGTTATATATAGGTTATATTGGTCTGTATCCCCCTGAAAGAAAAAATCTTTCAAAATGCATAGAGGGTGTAGCAAAACATAGTGAGGATTTTTTTTTTTTTATATATATATAGCAACGGCAAGGATTTAAATCTGCTTTCTTCCTTAGGCCAAGAGGGCAGAATCATGGTGCTTCTATAAGATTGGTTTTGATAAAAACAATCCTATAATAAAAATTTATCAAGTTCTATTATAGTTCTAGTTTTGTCCCCAGGTTTGGTTTATGTGAGAAATGTGTACAAGCACATTTTTTTTAAAGAGGTGCTTGTGTCCAGAGTCAGAGGTTTTTGTACGATGGCTCCATCAGTTTGTATCACTGTTGGATACGTTTGGTGGAGGAACCAGACTGGATGTTAACTGTAAGTTCAATTTGAAAAACTCACATAGAGAGAAAAGACAATTAGAAGAAATTTATTGATACAACTACTTGGTTTTTGGCACTCAGACCTCAGCAGGAAACATAGCGCTGAGTTTTTATAGATATGCATGAACAGGAGCAAAGAATAGTGCTGTTCCCCCCAGGCCTGAAACTAGTGGTGGAGTGGAGATAGATGAAGTTGGTCAGACTGTAGACTGCTGGTTAGCAAGACAGTATGCTGAGCTTTATGGGGAGATCCAGTGGACCTTGTGAGCTGGATCTAGAGCTTCACTAAGGGACCTACAGTAGAAGATGTAAGGCTAGCTTAGATAACACAGGTTGAGAGAACCTGTCCATGATGAGCAAGCACAAAGCGACTGTGGAGAGGAAAAAACTCCCCATTGGGAGGAAACCTCTGGCAGAACCAGGCTCAACATGGTGGTCTTCTGCCGGACCGGTTGAAATGAGACACGGAATGCAGTAAGAATCTGGAAGTCATGAAACTAATGACGTTTTAGCTACGATGGTGGAGGGGGGACTGGAGGTGGTTTGAAACGGGGTAATCTGAAAGAAATCACACAGCGCATTCACCACCTGCGCACTAAGTAGCAGACAAGTTGTGGATCAAAGGCCTTTTAAGATGAACTTTGGATGCGGATTGGCTTTCGTGGAGGTGTGGTTTAATGCTGATTTCTGTGTCGTAGACGGATGAAGGCGAGCAGTCAGTTTCTTTAGTAGAACTTCCACCTAGGCTCCGTTACAACTGACATCATTAAAAGAAATTTTTTTTATTATTATTTTATTCTGACCGGAAATTATTTCTTAATGGATTTAGTAAGTTTAAAAAAAAAAAAAAAAGTTAGTCAGTAGTTAAAATAGGCTGCTAATTGATAATCCTTTTTGTTCCTTGTTACAAAAAGAATTTAATAAGCTTAAACTACTGTATCTCTTAAAAAAGATTTTATTTATTTTTGTTAATGTGTTTTTTTTTTATTCTTACCGGAAATTATTTCTTATTGGATTTAGTTGGTGTAAAGGAATGGAATAAGTTAGTGAGTAGTGAAATAAGCTACTGTTTGGTAATCTTCTTTTTCTAGTTGATAATACACACATTTAAAAAGTTTGAAATATGTTCTATAAAAAAGATGCAATTTATTTTGTTAGCAGTGTGGGATGTATGCAAACCTATAATATCAGTTACACGGTGTGCACAATCTTAGGCTCAGGTATATTTTCTCTTATGTGTTGATGAAGTTTTTTTGAAATAAAAATGTCTGAACTTTCCTCTTGTTTGAGGTGAATTGATACTGAAAGACTAAAAGATCTATTTATTTTTATTGTGATAATAAATTCAGTATGTGATTTTCAGGTATTAGCACAGATCTTTTTAAAGCAGCAATGAAATAAGATTACCAATTAATTTTAGAAAATTTATACAGATTTAGAAAATAGAGCAAGTTCTAAAAGAAATACATAGAAACATTCAAGAAGAAATGTCAGCTTTAATGTGCGGTACTGAAACCTGTCTGTTGCTCTGGTTGAGCAGTGATGCAGGTGTGTTGCCATAGCTACAAAAGACAGAGCAGGAAATGAAACTTCAAGGACTTTTATCTGTACTCTGCAATTTTTCTCTTTAATGGAAAATGCTCGTCCCACCCTGACAGTGCTGCCCCCTTCCAGTGAGGAGCTGCAGCAGGGGAAGGCCACCCTCATGTGTCTGGCCAACAAGGGCTTCCCCTCAGACTGGAGTCTGTCCTGGAAGGTGGACGGCAGCATTAACACCTTCACCTGGGAGGAGAATAAGAGCCGAGGAGTGCTGCAGAAGGACGGCCTCTACAGCTGGAGCAGCACCCTGAGGCTCCCTGCAGACCAGTGGAGGAAGGTGGGCTCTGTGACCTGTGAGGCCTCCCAGGGCTCCCAGTCTGCAGCCACTGAGACACTGAGGAGAGACCAGTGTTCCCAGTCCTGAGCTAATTTAAGATGTATTATTCTGCTACTTATTTCTTGCTTTAAAAACTCTTTCTGATCTCATTTGGAGATTTTCTGTTACTTGATCAGAAGCCAAACATAATAAAATAAACACCAATTGTTGTTCCTGTATTGTTTTTGAATTTGATTAAACTACATCAGCCATAAATGTGTGTTAATAATGATAATTGCTACATTAATGAATAAAGACAAAATCAGAAGCACAAAACATCTAGTCAGGCTGATACATTAGCTTTCTGTCTAACTTTTCAAATGTTTTATCACTGAAGTATTTTGATGATAAAGTGCAATTTATATCCAATAATGCGTTCAATGTAATTCTTTAATAATGAACATTTACCAAACTACAAAAGCGGATTTCAGTCATAGCTTTTTATTTGTAAGACTATTTATTATTTAGCACCTTTCAAGATAAATATCACAGATAAATAAATAAAACTAAACAATGTTTAAATTGTCCTGTAATAGAAGACACAGAGCTTAACACATAACTATTAGACCAAACACCTCAGTAAAATATTTAAGAATGTTTTAGGAACCCAGAAGCGGAGAATGCAAACAAAACAGAAAGATAAGGAAAAACTGAAGCTTAATTAACATTAACCATCAAAGTAAAAATGTGAGTTTTTATTAAACCTTTAAAAGTCAGTCACTAACTAGGTGCTGCATTTTTTGCAGAACTGGATAATGGTACAGAATTACAGGAACTAATGCTGAGTAATTTCATTACATTTAGGAATAAATATTATTAATCTGTCGGTCCTATCTAAAAATCATATATGGAAGAAAGATCATTGCACGTATCTTTTAAACCATTTCATCTTTTTTTAATATATATATTTCCTTCTTAATTGTGAGTGTTTTGCTTTTTCTAATATACAAAAAAAATCATACTTTTGGCTCAGTCTAAGCATATATATAACGGTGAATTTTTAAGAATGTTGTTAGAATATGTAAAAAAACAAAAACAGTGATCATAATTTAACGTCAGCTCTAGTTGTGAAACAACCTTCTGCTTTGGTTCCTATGAGCCAGACACAGAAATACCAAACATCTCAGTAAACAGTAAAAAATCCATTAGAAATCCAGTTAATGAAAACGCTGTAAAGCAGAAATCTATAAGTTATTTTTGCAGAACATTAATTAAACTGAAATCACACTAAATGCAATGCCAACATATGGGATCGTAATTTTTAGACCTCTGTGCTGTAATCCTGCAGGAGGACATTGAGGTAAGAAACTATTGAGGAAAAATCCTTTCAAAATGACTTGAAATTTCAAATTTCAATTGTGATGTTGAATCACTGTGTGAACTGTGAGCTCCAATCCTGCTGACAGTGATAAACTGCATTTTCAGCCTGAACTTTGCTGATGGTCAGAGCAAAATCAGACGGACTTCCACAGTTTCAACTTTAAATATTATGACATATAACTCTAAAGACAGAAATCTAGATTTTACCTGTTAAAAATTATTGGTTTTAGCATATGATTCTACTCTTCTTAGTGAATAATTAAAACAATCCTTTGCAACTAGGGTGTGAACTTATAAATCAATAACGATCCATTTTTGATATTTGCTTTTATAAATGGTTTTAGATTCATAAAATTATTTAGAAAATCATAGTGTTTCTTTAACTTAAAGCAGGCACACCTTTTTACATTCATACTGAACCTTTTGATTATCTGTTTTCTTTTTTCACTTAATTGAAATATGTTTATATATATTTAATATTTATATAATAACTATTTATTTACTTTTGTCATAATTGTTAACATATCCTTTTTGAAAAAATGATATAGAGTGAAATGTTTAGAAAAACACTCATACTGTTACTGATTCAGATCAGTTCCTCTTTGTCTGGGAGGTTTTTGTACGATGTTGTTTCACTGTGTGAATGGCCAGCTGCTACCCTGCTGACAGTAATAAACTCCTCCATCTTCAGCCTGAACTCCACTGATTGTTAAAGTGAAAGCAGTTCCAGATCCACTTCCACTAAAACGACTTGGAATCCCAGACTGACGAGATGAAACATAATAGATTAAAAGTTTAGGAGACTCTCCATCCTTCTGGAGGTACCAGCTGAGGTAGCTGCTACTGGAGCTGGTTTTACAGCTGATGGAGACGGTCTGTCCTAAAACAACAGACTGAGATTCTGGAGTCTGAGTCAAGATGATGTCGCCTGATGAACCTGGAAAATAAATTAAAGGAATAAAAAAATTAGAAACGTCACTTTTGGTAAAGAAAAGAAGAATAGTGCAAAAAGATGATCTGTTCTTGAAGAATGTAGAATGTAATAAAAGTCTTTAAAATGTTGATGAAATTATGTTTTCAGCAGAGAGTCTGACCCTGAACCAGGAGCTCCAGGATGGTCAGCAGTAGAGTCAGTAACATCATCATTGTGCTGCTGGTGGTTCAGTGTCTCTGAAAGGCCTGGACAGCCTCTGATCAACACTGAGCTCTTAACAGCTGAGAGCAGAGAGGGAGGACACATATGCAAACACACAGAGTCAGTCACATGGAGCTCAGCTTGGTATTCTGTCATGGTTCCAAATCAAGCCTGAGATAATAGGAGCTCAATCACTCAGATTTCCATTGAATTTGTGAAAGGTGTGTATGTGTGTGTGTGTGTGTGTGTGTGTGTGTGTGTGTGTGTGTGTGTGTGTGTGTGTGTGTGTGTGTGTGTGTGTGTGTGTGTGTGTGTGTGTGTGTGTGTGTGTGTGTGTGCGGGGGGGGGGGGGTGATAAAATAAAAGAACATGAATAAAAAAGTTGTTTTATGTGTCTTCTTCTTTTTATCATGTCACTCTTATTGAAGTTACATATTGGTGCCTGTTCACATCTTATTATGACTAAAAAGCCCATAGAGAATATAAATTATATGAGATCAGCAGTTAATAGAAGACAAAAGATGACTGTGAAATATCTGACTGTGCCTTGAGATGACATGTGTTGTGAATTGGTGCTATATAAATAAACTGAATTGTATTGAATTTAAATATATATCCTCAGTCTACATCTCTCCTTTTAGTTTATCTTTATTTTCAGATGACAAGAAGGACCTTTTGCTAACTTTTTTTCCTTAGGCCTGAAATAAATGAGAATGAAAAGATGTGATGAAACAAAGAGGGATAAACTGTCCTTTGTTCTTGCTGAGTATTGACCAGGTAATCAGTTTGACATGAGTGATCTATAAAAACCTTTAGAACTACAGCAAACCTGAGCTATAATTCTAGTAAAAACAAAAAAACAAATCATAAAATCTCTTTATATTTGGTCTATTATAGCTTTATAAATAATCTTCAAGTTTTTTACATCATTAAACATGTGAAGAGGATAATAGACTTTATAAATTTGAAATACAAAGTGACTCTTTGGTAGTACTCCAACTGAGTCCAACAGGGATTAAGGATCTAATGGATGATACTATTTATCAATGAATTAAACAGTTTTTATCTGTCATTAAAGTCTAAGTAGTTCATACTGCTGCATACATTGTGAATCAGATTTTCCAATATATTAATATCACTTTTTACATTATGAATTATGATGTAATCTGTTACCTATAGTAGGTATAAACCATAATACTCACTTAGTTCACAAAATTGTACCAAAGACATTTTTGGTTCTGATTTAAGTGACCAATATTGAACTAAATAAAATGTTAGCTAGCTTTGGACAGAAAATGATCATAACAGAAACAAAGGCTTAAAAAATCCAGTCGGTGTTTGATAAGTCTATATACTGTGTTTCAATTAGTGAACTGAATTACTGTACGAAATAATATAAACCTCTTAAAATATCCTTTATATTGAGATCTGCTTGTTAATTACATTTTTGCTGTTTTAATTCTGTGTTCATTTCCTTTTTAGGATGTATTTTTGCATCAAACATATCAACCATAGCTGATCACTGGTTCACTGCCAGGAACACTGATTATACCATAAATCATTACAGGAAAAATTGACACCATTTCTATCAAATATATCAATTTTCATTTCTATATTTATTGTTTTTATTCAGCAATTTCTCATCCAAACTAAATGTTCTGTTGTTTTATTTTTATACCACTTCATGATATTTCCCATAAAGCTGATGTTTTGGTTAATGTGTTTGTGTCAGAGTCAGAGAGCCGTGTCTCTCTACAGTCAGAGGTTTTTGTACGACCACTCAATGAGTTTGTATCACTGTGGTGGACTTTTGGTGGAGGAACCAGACTGGATGTTGGAAGTAAGTCTTTTACTGGATTTAAAATTAAATCTTATATTCTGATGTTGTTTGTCTTTAATCTAAAAAAAATATTCTCTAAACATGAGAAAAAAAGTAATTTTAATAAGTTTAAATTTAAATGTAATTATTCATTGTAATAAAAGGACTCAGATTAGTTTTTTAGTTACAGGAATATTATTGAAGATAGGAGTTGAAAATACATTTATATTGAAAGCAAAATGTTGACAGTGAGCTTTGAATTGAATCCAATTCATTCATTTTTTTTATCTAATCAAATCTAATCTATCTAAATTTTTATCAAATAGTATATCGAGTAAAGATGAAGAAAGATCATTATTTATGTTTGGTTATTATATAATTTATTACTTTGAATATTGTCTTGAATTATTTAAATAAAAAAGTCTTTACTTTAGATCAAAAATATTCATTGCTTTTGAAATAGTAAATCTACTAAACATCCTTTTTTTTGTATGATTATTGCATATATTTTTACAAAAAATAAGTTTTTTGGAAGTTTGAAAATTTGTTTTTCAATTTGATATAGAACAGACTTTATTTGATTTGTAAAACATCAATATTTCATGTTTAATACTTTTTGATTCATTTAAAGTAAAGTTATGGGAGGTTTGTTAAGTGGAAGTGAAACAATGTGTCTCAGTAACTGTTGGAGCAGAAAAAAACATCTGGCAGAAACATTTTAGTAAAAAGCATCAACGCTCTCATAGTCAAAGTTTCCTGATGTCATTTCATGCCTTCCTGGTTCCTGTTCTCTAACCTGATTGGTGTCTCCTAGGTGATGCTCGTCCCACCCTGACAGTGCTGCCCCCCTCCAGTGAGGAGCTGCAGCAGGGGAAGGCCACCCTCATGTGTCTGGCCAACAAGGGTTTCCCCTCAGATTGGAGTCTGTCCTGGAAGGTGGACGGCAGCAGCAGCAGCAGCTGGGAGGAGAACAAGAGCAGAGGAGTGCTGCAGAAGGACGGCCTCTACAGCTGGAGCAGCACCCTGAGGCTCCCTGCAGACCAGTGGAGGAAGGTGGGCTCTGTGACCTGTGAGGCCACCCAGGGCTCCCAGTCTGCAGTCACAGAGACACTGAGGAGAGACCAGTGTTCCCAGTGACAACCTGATTTGTTCTTTTTTTTTCTTTTCAGTCTGCTACTTTTTAAAGTGTTTTACAGCCAAGTTTATTGTCTGTTAAATGTGTATCAGATTTTATTCTTGAACCTTCTTTTTCTTCCCAAGATCCACAATTTTTCAACATAATAAAACACATAAACCATCACATCTGTTGTATGTGGAGTCAATAAAGTTCAAATTAGCAACAAATCACCATTTTGTATTCAAGACATTTTCTCACAATTTTTCCCAAATTAGTTCAACATGATTTAATGTGGAACATCTGGTCTTAGTCTTATCAGAACTTAGAGAGCATTCTTCTTCTCTATGCCATAAAGTCACATTAGGATTGAAACTAAACGTCAACAAAAATATTCGAAGATGGTTTAAACTTTTTTTTTTAGATTATGGTTTCATCTTTAGATATTTTACTTTGTAGATAAATTAAATGTTTTTCTAATAAATTTGGAGACAGCTATGTATATCTCTATATAAAGATAAAGAAGAGAATGTTGCTCAGTTTATTTTCTTTTATTTTATTTTTTTTTTTGCAGAAATATTCCACATCTTTACTGGAGCTTCTAAATATTTAAACAATGAAAACAAATAAAAATACAAGATGAGGTAAAACATTTTTGGTAAAATATGTTTAACTTTGTAAGATGGCAAATCTCTTAAAAAAATGTAAAAATAATCTGATGAAATTTAAGATAAAAATTGACTGAAAGCCTGTTTAGTGATGATGTCATAAAATATGTCAAAGTGATTTTTCTGGTGAACTACTTTTTCCAGACAATCTTTTGAGTCAAAACTGTGCCTCAGTTTTTTGTAATTTTAATTGAAAGCATATTCACTGAGATACTCAGGGCCTGTTCAACATTATATAGGTTAATAACCAAGGATTTTTCATCTTTATCTGTGTCAGAGGTAGTTAGTATTAAGAAGACTTTTATAATTATTAAATTATTTGATATTTTAGGAAAACCAGGTTAAAAATATTTACTTTGTTTCTTTCTACAGTATAATAGTTTTTAAACATAATCTAATATCTTATATAGGTTTCAGACCATGTCTTTATAAATAAAACAGTAAAAGAAATGTCACATTCTCATGTTAGCATTATCAATTGTGTTTCCATTCATTCTAGTTAGTTTATTGATTTATTTCTATTATTGTTCAAACTATCTGCTCTGACAGAATCTTCAGCTTGAACTTCAGTGGTGTTCAGAGTTTGATCTACTGCCTCTATAAATGTTGATATATTTTCGAGGAAAAGATATTTAGTTACTCTGTGTGTGTTTAGTGATCTGTGTCAGAGTCTGCTGTGACATTCAGCTGGAGTTTCTGTTCAGTCTGACTGAGGGAGGTTTTTGTACGACTGTTTTTCACTGTGTGAACACGTACTGACTGTTGATGCTATGATAACTCTGACAGTAATAAACTCCTGCATCTTCAGCCTGAACTCCATTGATGGTCAGAGTGTAGTCAGAACCAGAACCACTTCCACTGAAACGATCAGGGACTCCAGACTGACGGCTGCTTCCACATGTTATAAGGAGTTTAGGAGAATCTCCTTTTTTCTGAAGGTACCATTTGAAGCAGTAACTTGTACTTGGATTAACTTCACATGTAATAGAGACAGTCTGTCCTGGAACAACAGACTGAGATCCAGGAGTCTGGATTATAGTGACTTGACCTGATGATCCTAGAAACACAAAATAAAAATAAATTTTCTTGGAGAAAATTTGAGCTTAAAGACATTACATCACCATCCAAACCAAAGCTGGTTGATATTGTATCCTGGGGAACATGGTTACATCTTAAGCCAAAGTTCTGATTAGAGAGTCTCACCCTGAACCAGGAGCTCCAGGATGGTCAGCAGTAGAGTCAGTAACATCATCATTGTGCTGCTGGTGGTTCAGTGGCTCTGAAAGGCCTGGACAGCCTCTGATCAACACTGACCTCTTAACAGCTGGGAGCAGAGAGGGAGGACACATATGCAAACACACAGAGTCAGTCACATGGAGCTGAACTCTACATGTCATCATGTTTCCTCCTGAACACTGACGGATTGGTGTCTATACAGTATATCTGTATGTCCTTATTTTCTGTTTTACAGTATCCTGACTTTTACTGTTCATATTCTATGAAAGACATTATTTCTATTTTATCATACTATTTCTAAATTTCTAAATTAGAATTAGAAGTTTAAACACTGCATATCGATGTAATGCAGGAAGTACATTTTTACCATTAGAGGGGGAAACTTGTGGGAAACAATGCTGATGTTCATTTATTACATCTTCTGAAACTAATAATTAAGAATCAAATAGTCATACAGTCATTGGTAGAAAATAATTCCTCTTTCCAATAATATCATGTATAAATTACAGGTCTTTCAACAGGATCTTGAGGAGATTCTGAGTTGTTTTTGTTTTTTGGATATTTATAATCCCCTCTGTGATTTATGTCCAGCAAAATGCTGAGTTTATATCTGAGAGATGTGCTTTAAGGTGTGAATATTTACATTTTGGATTATTTCAAGGGTCTGCAGCAAATTGTTAAACACTGAAATATTTTCATTTCCTATTCTTTGTCGAAGAATTTAACAACCAGCTGCTAAATGTAATTTAAGTAAAGCATTCCCAATAAATATGATATTTTAATTATTTTGGCAGAGATGCTTTGTGAGTTTACACAGAGTGCAGCTGTGTGTTGGTGTGTGTGTGTGGGGGGGTGGGGGGTGGGGGGGGTGGGGGGGGGGATCAGTTCAGTTTCAGTTCTGTGTGACTGAGGGGGTTTTTGTACAACGGTTTTTCACTGTGAGAACATCCACTGACTGTTCACCAAGAATTCACCCTGACAGTAGTAAACTGCAGCATCTTCTGCTTGAACTCCACTGATTTTCAGAGTGAAGTCAGTGTTTGATCCACTGGCCGAAAAATGGTCTGGAGTTCCTGTAACTCTCCGATTGCCAAAATTAAAAATTTATTTAGGAGGCTCTCCATCTTTCTGTTGGTACCAAAATTGATCTTCTCCATCATCGACTCTGTGACTGGTTCTACAGTTGATGGTAACAGTTCCTCCCAGATCAGCTCTCACTGCTGCAGGCTGAATCACTGTGACCTGACCTCTGGACTCTGAGGACACAGAGACAAAAACATAAAGCAGCTTCATGGTTTGTTGGCTTCATTTCAGAGGGACAGATGTTCATAGAGGAGAGGAGTTTGATTCTCTGTACTTTACCTGTAAAGCAGCAGCAGAGGAGAGTCCAAATGAGGACGCAGATCAAAGTCATGTTTTTGATGAGGAGGATTTCTGTGTCTTCTGTTGTCATGAAGGACAGCTGTCAGTCATCCAGTGTTCAACTCTCAGGACTATAAACTCTCCCAGAGAAATGGGGCATTGAGCTGCTGATGCAAAGTGGCTCTATGGAAATTCTCTGACTGACTCCAACAGAGATTTTGCATCTAAGTGACGAAATTATTTATTAATGACACAAATACATTTTATTTGGAATTAAAAAGTGAAGCATTTTGAGCTTTTTGTCTTTAAGATAAACTTTCAAGTATCCTTCTTTACATTTAAAAATATCAGTCAACAGTTTCCAGTACATTATTTTTCTAAATGTATTTTATTAAAGAAGTCCAGTCAGCAGGGAATAATAAATGGATCGTTATCTATACCTAAAACTAATACATTCCCAGTGAATTTATAAATTTTGCGTTTATCGGTAATCACTTATTTTGGGAGCGGCCATTTTTGCCCAAATATAATTCAATTTCAATTCAGTTTATTTATATAGCGCCAAATTCACAACACATGTCATCTCAAGGCACTTTAAAGTTCAAAAGATCATACAGTCAAATTGATTAAAAGTTTTCTATCTAAAAAAAACAGTTGATTGCATCGACTCATTGACTCGAATGCAATCCCTATTACTCGGCATGCTTGTAGTGACAGTGGAGAGGAAAAACTCCCTTTTAACAGGAAGAAACCTCCAGCAGAACTAGACTCAGTGTGAGCAGCCATCTGCCGACGCCGACTGGGGTTCAAGGAGGCAGAAGCAGAGATACAAAAAAGCAACTGTAAAAGGCGTCCTGGTTCAGGAAACACACAGCCAGGCAGACAAGCTCTGAACCAACTCCCATGTCAGAGGATGAAGAGAGCACATCCAGCCAGTCACAGTCAGAGAAACAGCACTACAATGGAGTGTCTGCCTCGTGGACTAAACTGGTAGTTGGTTCCACAGGAGAGGAGCCTGATAACTTTAAGATCTTCCTCCCATTCTATTTTTAGAAATTCTAGGAACCACTAGTAAACCTGCAGATTGAGAGCGAAGTGCTCTGTTAGGAACATAAGGACCAATCATATCTCTGATATAAGATGGAGCTTGGCCATTTAAGGCTTTATATATGAGAAGGAGGATTTTATATTCTATTCTGGATTTAACAGGAAGCCAATGAAGAGAAGCCAGGATAGGAGAGATATGATCTCTCTTTTTAATTCTCATTAGAACTCTGGCTGCAGCATTTTGGATCAGCTGAAGGCTTTTAACTACAGTTTGTGGACTTCCTGATAGTAAAGAATTACAATAGTCCAGCCTTGAAGTAACAAATGCATGGATTAGTTTCTCAGCATCACCCCTGGACAGGATATTTCTAATTTTTGCAATATTCTGCAGATGAAAGAAGGAAATTCTAGAAACCTCTTTGATATGGGATTTAAATGACATGTCCTGATCAAAAATAATACCAAGATTTTTTACTTTAATATCTAAAATCAATTTAATTCCATCCAAATGAAGTGACTGACTAATCTGCTCCAAAGACTATAACTTCTGCTTTGTCTGCATTCAGGAGCAGAAAGTTAAGAGTCATCCAGGTTTTTATGTCTTGAAGACATGCCTGTAATCTATGTAATGGGTTAGCTTAATCTGGATTCATAGACATATATAGCTGTGTATCATCAGCATAACAGTGGAAATTAATCCCATGCTGTCTAATGACTCTACCGACTAAGATCATATATATAGTAAAGAGAATTGGTCCTAGCACTGATCCCTGTGGTACTCCACAGGTAACCTTATCTTATATTAAATGTTCTTACCGGCTTTTATGTGTTTGTGTCAGAGTCAGAGAGCCGTGTCTTTAACAGTCAGAGGTTTTTGTACGACGGCTCCATCAGTTTGTATCACTGTGGTACACGTTTGGTGGAGGAACCACACTGAATGTTAACTGTAAGTACAACTAATTAACTAAAAGAAATGTTCTCTGTAATTTATTTTTTTATTTTTTTATTTATTATTTTTATTCTGACAGGAAATTAATTCTTTTTGGATTTAGTTACTTTAAAAAATAAATGGATAAGTTTGTCAGTAGTGAAAATAAGCTGCTATTTTGTCATAATTTTTTTTCTTTGATATGGAAACGATTTAATCATTTTAAACTAATGAATGTCTTATTAAAATGATTTTATTTACTTTTGTTAGCGCAGGATGTATGTAAACTTGTAATATCAGTTTTAGCATGTGCATACTCTTGGGCTCAGTTATATTTTCTCTGATCTGCTGATGAAGGGTTTTTGAAGTAAAAATATCTGAACTTTCCTCTTTTTTGTAAACGGAGAATTGATATTGAAAAAATAAAAGATGATTGTGAAAATAAATTCAGTATGTGATGTTCAGGTATTAGCAGAGATCTAGTTAAAGCAACAACGAAATTAGATTATCAAACTATTTTAGAACATTAATACAGATTTAGAAAATAGAGCAAATTCCAACATACATGGAAACATTCAAGAAGATATGTCAGTTTTAATGTGTGGTACTGAAACCTGTCTGTTGCTCTGGTTGAGCAGTGATGCAGGTGTGTCGCCATAGTTACAAAAGACAGAGCAGGAAATGAAACTTCGAGGACTTTGATCTGTACTCTGCAATTTTTCTCTATAGTGGAAAATGCTCGTCCCACCCTGACAGTGCTGCCCCCCTCCAGTGAGGAGCTGCAGCAGGGGAAGGCCACCCTCATGTGTCTGGCCAACAAGGGTTTCCCCTCAGACTGGAGTCTGTCCTGGAAAGTGGACGGCAGCATTAACACCTTCACCTGGGAGGAGAACAAGAGCCGAGGAGTGCTGCAGAAGGACGGCCTCTACAGCTGGAGCAGCACCCTGAGGCTCACTGCAGACCAGTGGAGGAAGGTGGGCTCTGTGACCTGTGAGGCCACCCAGGGCTCCCAGTCTGCAGTCACAGAGACACTGAGGAGAGACCAGTGTTCCCAGTCCTGAGCTGATTCATAATTTTTCTGATCTTAATTCTGATTTAAAAATAGTTTGTTGGATCTTTCTGTTAATCTTCAGAATTTACTGACTTAGAAGCTCAAATTCTTTTGAAAGACAATAAAATATACATAATTATTTTAAGCTTTTCTTTGATTTATTTCAGATTTGATTTATAAATGTATATTTTTATTCCAAATTGTTATGATGAAAAGATTTCCAATGAATAAAGAGGTACAGAAACATCTGGTCAGGCTGATGTATCACATTTTTATGAAGATTGGTTCTTTTTAACAGGAAGGTTTCTGACCATCATACAGAATCACAAAAGTAGAATTTATTTAGGCAATGGTCTGAACTTATACAGAGCTTCCGAATCTCTGTTTATTGCTCAGAGGCTCAGTTTCTTTTGAGAAACAAAAAAAGTGAAATTTTAACTTTTTTCCATCAAATTTATACAAATGACAAAAGAATTTCCAGTCTCTTATTAGCTGAATAAAAAGATGCAGGATTATCTGGTCAGGCTGGTATATCAGGTTTCTAAGATTGGTCCTTTTCATTGACCTGGTTTTAGGAAGCCTTCTGTTCCACATTCAAAACCACATGAGAAGGAGACTGATGGGAAATGTTCTGTACTTATACAGACCATTAATTTATGGTTTATTTAAACAGTGGTATTTGTTTATTAATTGTTTCTCAAATGTAAAGAAACATCCTTGGGATTAAATCATGAATAATTCATTGGAAGCATTTATAACCAACCTTGGAGGGGAAAAATGCTCGAAATCTATTCTATGTTTAAATAAAAATGACAGTAACTCAGGTGAGTTATGATATTGATTTACCTTTATCCAGTTTTAGTATGTTTCTACTATCAGTCTTTTTCCAGTGAATTATTTTCCCAAATATAATTCGTTACTGTTTTAGTTCAGTTAAAAAAAGACATTAAATAATAAAACAGCATCAAACTATTTTTAGTACAATTTCTTTTAAATAGCCTTGGGGAAATATTGGTTCCACATTTATATTTTACTTTAATAATAAATGAACATCTTGTTTTCTATTTTCTGACTAGAGTTTTACAATGAGTTCAAGCTAAAACAGTTAGGTATGTGTAGGCTGCTGTTGGAAAATTAGAGTTTAAATTCTAAATTAAAGCTTCTTTTAATGAAGCCACAGATCAGCATTTTTTTTTATCCATAGTCAGATTAATTCATTACCTTCAGCTTAAGCCTAAACCTAGAATAACTTCAGCATCTACAGCTGTTAACAAGGAATGATAGTTTGTCTGTTGACTCAGATCAGTTCCTCTTCTGATGGGAGGTTTTTGTACGACTGTGTATCACTGTGTGAATGGGAGGCTGTTACGCTGCTGACAATAGTAAACTCCTCCATCCTCAGCCTGAACTCCACTGATTATCAGTGTGAAGTCAGTCTGTTGTGCTGTTGCACGAAACCTTTCTGGGACTCCAGACTGACGCTCTGTGGTATCATAAAACAGGAGTTTTGGAGCTCCTCCAGGTTTCTGCAGGTACCAGTTGATGTCATCACCTATACTTCTGTCAGATTTACATCTGATGGAGACGGTCTGTCCCTGAACAGCAGACTGAGCTCTAGGAGTCTGATTCAGGACGATGTCTCCTGAAGAACCTTTTAACAGAAAACACACCTTTCAGTAAAATACATTAAACATAAATAGTAAACATTGAAACGTTTATTCTGCAAGTTTTATTGTACATAATACCAGAACACTTGCGCAATAGCTTTTTAGCAGAGTCTCACCCTGAACCAGGAGCTCCAGGATGGTCAGCAGTAGAGTCAGTAACATCATCATTGTGCTGCTGGTGGTTCAGTGGCTCTGAAAGGCCTGGACAGCCTCTGATCAACACTGAGCTCTTAACAGCTGGGAGCAGAGAGGGAGGACACATATGCAAACACACTGAGTCACATGGAGTTTAACTCTACATGTCATCATGTGTCCCTGTCAATCCTGTGAGATTTGTGTTAACTACCTGAATGTTCACTGTTACAAAAAAAGTCTCTAAACTAATATGTTGCCATGTAATTATGTTAATGTTATTTTTTCTACTGTCAGGGTGAAAAGCGACAGGTGTCACAAACAATATAAATTAGTCCTTGGCCTTGTTCTTATTGCTATTTATTGGCGACTTCTTTACAAGGACATACTGTAGACATGTTGGGTAACACTCTTGAACACAAGTATGAAAGATTGTATACTTGATAAAGCTTGCAAGTATCTGGCAACTACCATGAAACTGCACTTCTCTTCCACCGTGACTCTACTTCTGGTTCACTATCAACTCATCTAAACCAATTAAAAGCAACTATAGAGCCTTCAAGTGGAAAAGTAGGAGTGAATCCAACATCCAGCCCCGATGACCTCTACAGACAGTCATCCCAGTAAAAAAACTGGCTCCCAGTCTGCAGTCACAGAGACACTGAGGAGAGACCAGGGCTCTCAATCCTGAGCTGATTTAAGATGTTTTATTCTGCTTATTATCACTTGCTTTAAAAACCATTTTGGATCTCATTTGGACACTTTCTGTTACTTGTTCAGAAGCCAAACCTATTAAAATAAATACCAATTATTTTTCCCATATTGTCTTTGAATTTGATTAAACTACATCAGCCATAAATGCGGGTTAATGCTGATGATTACTACCTTAGAGAATAATGACAAAAGAAGAGGCACAAAACATCTAGTCAGGCTGAGACATTTGCTTTCTGTCTAACTTTTCAAACGTTTTATCACTGAAGTATTTTTGATGATAAAGTGCACTTTATATTCATTAATATGTTTAAATTTAATTCCGAAAAAATAATGAATCTTCACCAAACTACAAAAGAGCCTTTCAGTCAACCTTTTTTATTAGTAAGATTATTTAAATACCTTTCAAGATAAACATCATAGATGAATAAATAAAACTAAACAATAAATTAGAGATTTAAGTTGTACTGTAATAGAACACAAAAATATTAGTCCAAAAACCTCAGTAAAATATCCAGAAGCTGAGAATGCTAAAAAACAATAAGATAAGGAAAAGCTGAAGCTTAATTTCCATCCATCCATCCATCCATCCATCCATCCATCCATCCATCCATCCATCCATCCATCCATCCATCCATCCATCCATCCATCCATCCATCCATTTTCTTTCACGCTTAATCCCAAGAGGGGTCATGAAGGGTGCTGGTGTCTATCTCCAGCTGTCTACGGGTGAGAGGCGGGGTACACCCTAGACAGGTCACCAGTCCATCGCAGTTAATTAACATTAACCATCAAAGTAAAACTTTGAGTTTTTAATAAACCTTTAAAGGTCTGTAACTGACTGAGTGCTGCATTTTTGCAGACCTGGATTATTGTACAGAATTTGAGAAAATTGCTGAGTAATTATATTACTTTTAGGCCTAATAATAATTAATCTGTGGGTCCTGTCTAATAAATCACACATGGAAGAAAACCCATTGCAGTTATTCTTTCCAACCATTTTAACCTTAAGCTTAAGCTTTTTTATATTTCTTTCTAAATTTAGAGTGTTTTACTTTTTTTCATGTACAAAAAAAAAATCATAATTTTGGCTCATTCTAAGCACATATATAACTGTGAATTACTAAGTAGGTTGTTAGAACATGTGAAAAACCAAAACAGTGATCATAATTTAAATTCAGTTCTATTTGTAAAACAATGTTCTGCTTTGGTTCCTATGAGCCAGACACAGAAAGAGCAAACGCCTCATTAAACAGTAAAGAACTCATTAGAAATTCAGTTAATGAAAACGCTGTAAAGCAGAAAGCTAAATGAAGACAAAATACAATCTCAGTTATTTTTTGTGGAACATTATTTAAACTGAAATCATACTAAATACGACGCAAACGTGAGATTGTAATTTTCAGACCTCTGTGCTGTAATTCTGCAGGCAGACATTGAGTTAAGAAACTATTGAGGAAAATTCCTTTCAAAATGACTTGAAATGTCAAATTTTGATTGTGATGTTGTATCACTCTGTGAACTGTGAGCTCCAATCCTGCTGACAGTGATAAACTCTGCATCTTCATATTATGACATATAACTCTAAAGACAGAAATTTGACTTTACCTGGCTTTAGCATATGATTCTACTCTTCTTAGTGAATAATTAAAACAATCCTTTGCTGCTAGGGCGGGAAGTTCTAGATCAATCACAATACATTTTTAATATCTGCTTTTATTAAATGTTTTATATTTATAAAATGATTTAGAAAATCATAGTGTTTCTTAAACTTAGAGCAAGCAAACCTTTTTACATTAAAACTGAACTTTTTGAATGTCTGTTTTCTTTTTTCACTTAATTGAAATATATTTAATATTTATATAATAAATATTTATTTCCTTTTTTTTCATAATTTTTGACATTGTCTTTTAGAAAAAGTGTTATAGAGTGAAATGTTTAGAAAAACACTCATACTGTTACTGATTCAGATCAGTTCCTCTTTGTCTGGGAGGTTTTTGTACGACGTTGTTTCACTGTGTGAGCGGGTAGTCGTTATACTGCTGACAGTAATAAACTCCTCCATCTTCAGCCTGAACTCCACTGATTGTTAAAGTGAAAGCAGTTCCAGATCCACTTCCACTAAAACGACCTGGAATTCCAGACTGACGAGATGAAGCTCTATAGATTAAAAGTTTAGGAGACTCTCCATCCTTCTGGAGGTACCAGCTGAGCCAGCTGCCAACACTGGAGCTGGTTTTACAGCTGATGGAGACAGTCTGTCCTAAAACAACAGACTGAGATACTGGAGCCTGACTCAGATTGATGTCGCCTGATGAACCTGGAAAATAAATTACAGGAATAAAAAACAGAAACATCACTCTTGGAGAAAGAAAACAACAATAGTGCAAAAAGATTTTCTGTTCCTGAAGAATGTAGAATGTAATAAAAGTCTTTAAAATGTTGATGAAATGATTTTTTCAGCAGAGAGTCTCACCCTGAACCAGGAGCTCCAGGATGGTCAGCAGTAGAGTCAGTAACATCATCATTGTGCTGCTGGTGGTTCAGTGGCTCTGAAAGGCCTGGACAGCCTCTGATCAACACTGAGCTCTTAACAGCTGGGAGCAGAGAGGGAGGACACATATGCAAACACACAGAGTCAGTCACATGGAGCTGAACTCTACATGTCATCATGTTTCTCTTTCAGTCCTATGAGATTTGTGCTAACTTACATTAATATCCCCTACAAACTGATGTTATGGCATGTATTCATCTTGCTTTTTCTTTCTGCTTTAGGTTTTATTTTGTGTTTAAACAGATCCCCAAGCTTAAATATACATTTTATGCATTTCTATTTGATACTTTCCACACATTTTTTCTTTTCTCTGTGCCATTTCTTTATTGACTTTTGAAAAGGAATATTCAAAAACTGCTAAAAAGCTTTACTATAAGTTACAATAATGATATTGATCCTAAGAAAAATACTAGAAAATAAATAGTGCAATGTTGGGGTGTGAAACTGCATTTATTTCTGTGTTAGCTGTTTATTGTTCATAAATGTTTTGAAGTGCATGTGTGTGAAGGCATGTAAAGTTTTTCATCAGGATGTGTCTGTTTCATCTGCTGCCTTCAGATTTAAGTAAGGGAGGTTTCTGTATGACACCTTTTCAGTTTATGAAGACATTCACAGTTTATATCGCCTGAATTCGAAAAAATATCAGAATTCAACCTGAACTCTACTATCAGTCAGCTTGAACCAGAGTTTGATCCACTGGTAAAAAAAACTTTTTTTAAACTTGGAGAAATCAAACATTTTAAAATTTATACTAACATTTTTAATAATCTTTTTTCTTTTCTCAATTAATTTTAATATGACTTCTTTATTTTTTCATAACTTTAAAATCATTGTTTTAGAAAGTGTTTTAGAGTGTAATGTTTAAAAAACTCTTTGAAAAAGATTATTCATTCTAGTAAAACTGTAAATGATTCAGATCAGTTCCTCTTTGTCTGGGAGGTTTTTGTACGACGTTGTTTCACTGTGTGAACGGCCAGCTGCTACACTGCTGACAGTAATAAACTCCTCCATCTTCAGCCTGAACTCCACTGATTGTTAAAGTGTAAGCAGTTCCAGATCCGCTTCCACTAATACGACCTGGAATCCCAGACTGACGAGATGAAGCACTATGGATTAAAAGTTTAGGAGACTCTCCATCCTTCTGGAGGTACCAGTTGAGGCAGCTGCTAACACTGGAGCTGGTTTTACAGCTGATGGAGACAGTCTGTCCTAAAACAACAGACTGAGATACTGGAGTCTGACTCAGATTGATGTCGCCTGATGAACCTGGAAAAAAAAATTTAAGGAATAAAAACCTTGGAAACTTCACTTTTGGTAAAGAAAAGAATAATAGTGCAAAAAGATGATCCATTCTTAAAGAATGTAATAAATATTTTTCAAATGATGGATCATTATAGTGTTCAATCTTGAGCCAATGTTTTTAGCAAAGAATCTGACCCTGAACCAGGAGCTCCAGGATGGTCAGCAGTAGAGTCAGTAACATCATCATTGTGCTGCTGGTGGTTCAGTGGCTCTGAAAGGCCTGGACAGCCTCTGATCAACACTGAGCTCTTAACAGCTGGGAGCAGAGAGGGAGGACACATATGCAAACACACAGAGTCAGTCACATGGAGCTGAACTCTACATGTCATCATGTTTCCCTATCAATCTTGTGAGATTGTTACATCCAATTTGGATGTAAGTGTATCTTTTATTGTCACAAAAGTACTCAATTTTCTTTGAATATTAAATATTAAAGTTAACTTTTTAATTAAGTTTTGGATTATCGTGGCATAACTAGGCAGTTTTAGAGGTTATGTAGAAACGTTTCAAACAATTACGTCGTTTTTTTAATCAAGAGTTAAAATAACTACCTATATATTTCTTTCAATAAAAAGTTCTGTAGGTCCTACTTCGGCCTGGTTTTAGCTAATAAATATTACAATACCTGCTAAGTTCATTCATAAGTTCATTACCATAATGCCAGAAAAGGGTGATAATAAATGGTGACAGGGGATTTATTGTTTCAAGAAACATATTTAAAAAATGCTGGAAATATGAAAATTATTTTGAACATAAAGAATGTACATTTTTATTTTGATTTACTCATCACCTATTACTCGGAACAGAATATTTGTTTTAAAAGTATTTATTTATTTATAATCAAAATGGAGAAGCAAAATGCTCAAATTCTAAAATACAACAGGAGGTATAATTTAGCTGTTATATATAGGTTATATCTGCCTGTATTCCCCCGAAAAAATCTACTATTTAAGAATCCATGGAGGGTTTAGCCAAACTTAGTCAGCAAATTATCTTTTTATGTTGCACCATCAAGAATTCAATTGTTTTCACCTCTGCCTTAGGCCAAGAGCTCACAATCATGGTCTTTTTTTATTTGGTTTCATTAAAAAAAATAAAAATAAAATAAAACCCTACAATAAAATATGAATTAAGTTCTAATGTGGTTCTAGTTTTGTCCCCAGGTTTGGTTTTATGTGAGAATTTTTTTTAAAGATTTGTTTATGTTCAGAGTCAGAGAGCCGTGTCTTTAACAGTCAGAGGTTTTTGTACGACGGCTCCATCAGTTTGTATCACTGTGGTACACGTTTGGTGGAGGAACCAGATTGGATGTTGGAAGTAAGTAAAACTGTTACTTACTATTCTCTTCTTTGCTAATTTTTTCTTTCTAATTTAATTTCATAAATGTTAGAATGTGGAAATAATTTTTGTAAACAATTTTTCAATTAACAAAACACTGATAGGAGATATTAAGGCGATTACATATTTTCAAATCTAAAACCAAAATATAATATGAATGTCCCACCATGGATTTATCAGTGCATCTTTGCTTATATTGTGTAATCCATGTATGTTGGATTTAGTTAAGTCTGTAATGTCGTAGAGCTGCATCTCTAACAGTCAGAGGTTTCTGTGCAACGTCTCATTCAGTTTTTGTATCACTGTGGTACACAGTCGGTGGAGAAAACACTACGGAGTTTAGAAATAAGTCTGCAGAATTTTTAGGACAAAAAAGAAGAAATTATATCGTACCCTTTAAAATAATATTTTTCTTTTTTTGTGTCCATAATTACTGATATATAACATCTTGTGTGACGTAATCTGTATACTCTGACCTGAGCCTTTATCTTTAATAGACGTGAAATATGAAAAAAGAAAAAAACTAAATGCAAAATGTATTGGGTACATTTTCAAAATAAATTCTAGTGAGAAATGTATGATTAAAATGTCAATAAAAATATTAAAACTTTTTCTCTAAAGTCTGAGTTAAATATGTAAGGTTATGATAAGGCTGATATGCATGAGGTGATTCACGAGGGGAAGTGAAACATTAAGTGAAGAAGTGACTGTTGGAGCAAAACGACATCTGGCAGGAACATCCTGGTAGAGAAGATCACTGCTGGATCATTAAAATGCTTAGATTTTTTTCTGTATAACTGACAGATTTCTTTGTCATGTTCTCTAACCTGATTGGTGTCTCCTAGGTGATGCTCGTCCCACCCTGACAGTGCTGCCCCCCTCCAGTGTGGAGCTGCAGCAGGGGAAGGCCACCCTCATGTGTCTGGCCAACAAGGGCTTCCCCTCAGACTGGAGTCTGTCCTGGAAGGTGGACGGCAGCAGCAGCAGCAGCAGCTGGGAGGAGAACAAGAGCCGAGGAGTGCTGCAGAAGGACGGCCTCTACAGCTGGAGCAGCACCCTGAGGCTCCCTGCAGACCAGTGGAGGAAGGTGGGCTCTGTGACCTGTGAGGCCACCCAGGGCTCCCAGTCTGCAGTCACAGAGACACTGAGGAGAGACCAGTGCTCCCAGTCCTGAGCTGATATAATATGTTTTATTCTGCTACTCATCACTTGCTTTCAAAACCCTTTTGGATCTCATTTGGACATTTTCTGTTACTTGTTCAAGAGCCAAACATATTAAAATAAAAAAACAGTTATTGTTCCTGTATTGTCTTTGAATTTAATTAAACTACATCAGCCATAAATGTTGGTTAATGTTGTTAATTGCTACCTGAATAAATAAAGAAAAAAGAAGAGACACAAAATAGCCAGTCAAGCAGATACATTAGCTTACTGTGTAACTTTTTCTTTTAGTTTTTTATCACTGAAGTTTTTTTATGATAAGGTGCAATTTATATTCATTAATGTACTGAAAAAATTACGCAACTGTTTTTGGCATTTATTTAATCATATTTGGTTACTTTAACACAATTGTTTCATGTTAGCAGGGTAGGAAACAGAACAATTGTGTTAAAGTAACTAAATATGACTAAGTAAAAGCCAAAAGTGGTTGCATTATTTTTGTTAGGGTGTGTTTTAGTTTGAGTCCTAAAACTTGTTCAGAAGCCAAACTTATTAAAATAAATACCAATTATCGTTCCTGTATTGTTTTTGAATTTAATGAAACTTCATCAGCCATAAATGTGGGTAAATAATGTTAATTGCTACCTTAATGAATAAAGACAAAATCAGAAACACAAAACATCTAGTCAGGCTGATACCTTAGCTTTCTGTCTAACTTTTCAAATGATTTATCACTGAAGTATTTTGATCATAAAGTGCAATTTATATCCAATAATGCTTTCAAATGTAATTCTTAAAAAAATAATGAACATTCACCAAACTACAAGAGGATTTCAGTCAACCTTTTTTATTAGTAAGACTATTTATTATTTAGCACCTTTCAAGATAAATATCACAGATAAATAAATAAAACTAAACAATGTTTAAATTGTCCTGTAATAGAAGAAACAGAGCTAAACACATAACCATTAGCTGAAACACCTCAGTAAGACATTAAATATATTGTAGAAATGAAGAAGCTGAGAATGCCAAAAAAACCTAGAAAGATAAGGAAAAACTGAAGGTTAACTAACATTAACAATCAAAGTAAATGTTTTGAGATTTTAATAAACCTTTAAAGGTCTGTCACTGACTAGGTGCTGCATTTTTTGCAGAACTGGATTATTGTACAGAATTACAGGAACTAATGCTCAGTAATTAATGCTCAATAATTACATGTAGGAATAAATATCATTAATCTGTTGGTCCTGTCTAAAAATCACATATGGAAGAAAGATCATTGCAGGTTTTCTTTCAAACTATTTCATCTTAAGATTTTTTTGTATTTCTTTGTAAATTGTGTGTTAATCATACTTTTGGCTCAGTCTGAGCAAATATATAACAGTGAATTTTTAAGTATGTTGTTAGAATATGTAAAAAACCAAACAGTGATCATAATTTAAAGTTAGTCTTTTTTTTCCCAGTTAAAGTGAAACAATGTTCTGCTTTGGTTCCTATGAGCCAGACACAGAAATACCAAAAATCTCAGTAAACAGTAAAAAATCCATTAGCAGTTCAGTTAATGAAAACGCTGTAAAGCAGAAAGCTATAAGGTATTTTTGCAGAACATTATTTAAACTGAAATCACACTAAATGCAATGCAAACATGATTGTAATTTTCAGACCTCTGTGCTGTAATCCTGCAGGTTGACATTGAGTTAAGAAACTATTGAGGAAAAATCCTTTCAAAATGACTTGAAATGTAAAATTTTGATTGTGATGTTGTATCACTGTGTGAACTGTGAGCTCCAGTCCTGCTGACAGTGATAAACTCTGCATCTTCATCCTGAACTCTGCTGATGGTCAGAGTGAAATCAGTACCAGACCGACTCCCACAGTTTTAACTTTAAATATTATGACAAATAACCGTAAAGAAAGAAATTTAGACTTTACCTGTTAAAAATAATTGGTTTTAGCATATGATTCTACTCTTCTTAGTGAATAATTTAAAAAAAAACCTACTAGGGCGTGAACTTATAAATCAATCATGATACATTTTTACTATTTGCTTTTATTAAAGGTTTGATTCATAAAATGCTTTAGAAAAACATTTTGTTTCTTAAACTTTGATTCATACTGAACTTTTTGATTATCTGCTTTCTTTTTTCACTTAATTGATAAATGTTTATATATATTTAATATTTATATAATAAATATTTATTTACTTTTGTCATAATTGTTAACATATTCTCTTAGAAAAAGTGTTATAGAGTGAAATATTTAGAAGAAGACTCATTCTGTAAATGATTCAAATCAGTTCCTCTTTGTCTGGGAGGTTTTTGTACGACGTTGTTTCACTGTGTGAGCGGCCAGCTGTTACACTGCTGACAGTAATAAACTCCTCCATCTTCAGCCTGAACTCCACTGATTGTTAAAGTGAAAGCAGTTCCAGATCCACTTCCACTAAAACGTCCTGGAATCCCAGACTGACGAGATGAAGCGTAATAAATTAAAAGTTTAGGAGAGTCTCCATCCTTCTGGAGGTACCATTTGAGGCACGTGCCAACACTGGAGCTGGTTTTACAGCTGATGGAGACAGTCTGTCCTAAAACAACAGACTGAGATACTGGAGTCTGAGTCAGATTGATGTCGCCTGATGAACCTGGAAAATAAATTTAAGGAATAAAAAACTTAGAAACATCACTCTTGGAGAAAGAAAATAACAGTAGTGCAAAAAGATGATCTGTTCTTGAAGAATGTAGAATGTAATAAAAGTCTTTAAAATGAAGGATCAATATAGTGTTTTATCTTGAGTTGATGTTTTCAACACAGAGTCTCACCCTGAACCAGGAGCTCCAGGATGGTCAGCAGTAGAGTCAGTAACATCATCATTGTGCTGCTGGTGGTTCAGTGGCTCTGAAAGGCCTGGACAGCCTCTGATCAACACTGAGCTCTTAACAGCTGGGAGCAGAGAGGGAGGACACATATGCAAACACACAGAGTCAGTCACATGGAGCTGAACACTACATGTCATCTTCCCTAATCCTGAGAGATTTGTGCTAACTACCTTAATTTTTATTAAAAGCAATGTTGCCTCCATGATCTGCCTTCATGTTAACATGATGCTCTTTTTTTATTTAGTTTGGATCTCATTTTCAAAATATATTTTTATCTCCACAATTTCTTGCTGCTTTAAAAGGTTTAAATTATTATTTTTTTGTATATATATTTTTTTTCTTCCTTTTGTGCTGCTTTTTATGAAAGGAATTGGGATGTGAACTTACAGCTTAATACTCAAAACTGGCTCTAGTCCTCGAGGCTATAATAGTGACATCAACCTGAGAGAAATTAAGAAAAAAAAACTGCACAATTTTATGGTGGGGAACTGATTCGTCTATTTCTATGTTAGCTATCCATTGTTTCAACTTAGTGTGCAGGATTTGATGCAGGGATGGAGGTTTTAGGTGATGTGATGGAAAATGTGCAACTATGTTAACTTTACTCGTTTTTGCTGAAGATGGTCTGTATTATCCCTTGATGTGTAACACTGGTCATATTTTCTCTAAAGCGGAGGTGCATTCTGCCCTCTTAAGGAGGTGCAGTCAGATAGATCTACATTGCATTTCTGCACCAGGTTCACTGAGAATGAATGCCAGATAAAGGATCGGCTAAGACCAGAACCAATACATGGTCTCCTGGGAAAATTCATCCCTTCACTGAGATGTATAAATGTGTATACTCCTCTGAACTGCTTTTTCTTTCCCTAAATTTCAAACAAAATTATTTTCTCCAAATCTAGAATAAACATTCTGGGTGTCTATAAATTAATTCCAGATATCCATATTACTAATATTACTGGTCAGCAGTTGTATTATTTAACTATAAATTAATGTATTTCAGATATCATAAATACATATTCAGTCAAGCTGATAAATGTCAAAACGGCCACTTAAAATGTGTGAACATTTCTAGATGTATAAGCCTTAATTCTTACTAGTATAATTTTGTTTTTCCTACTTTCTAAAATTTTGTATCTGCTACAAAAATGTAATTTAGAAAATATGTTATTACAATTAGGTCTAGGAGTGTGATTTTTCCCAGGAAGAATCTTATTTTAGTGATCTATAAATGGAAAAACAGTGAGGAGTGTTAAATGGGAAAAAGGCCTGCCATAGCCCACTTCATATAAACTTACGCATTGACTGGAGCAACAATCTTCTCCTTCACCACCTTCCTCCTTTGCAGCTGTAGCGCTCTTTCTCTGTCTTTTAAACACGTTCTCCTTTTTTATTTTTTCATTTCTGCATTAAAATCTAGTTCTAGCGTGGTGAAATAGGCACTACCTGTTGCCTGTTGTCATGGTGACTTGTCAAATCAGTGTTCCACTAATAAAGGCTTTTCATACTTGTTACGCTCGTGTTAAACTCTGACTCGTTCTACTTTGTGTCAGGTTCCCGTGTGTGTGTGAGTTATGCATCTCTTCAAGAGAGGATCTTTGTGGAGAACCTGGGTAGTCTACACAGGTGGAGTTCATCAGTCTGATCAGAGTGCTACGTTTTAAAGAGCACAGCCTTCTCTCACTGCTTATTTTTTGTTGTTGTTTTGTTGCGCTGTTGTTCACTGGCTTTTCATGTGTGTTTTTCCCTGACGTTCTCTTAGATTTTGGTTTCCAGTGTTTTTTTCATTTTTGTCTCAGTTGCCTGTGGTAATTTATTTAATCTGCAGACTCATCTCTGCCAAGAGTGACCAGACGCCCTCATTTTCCCAGACGTGTCCTACTTTTCATTTAGAACCTTTTATTGGGGCTTCAGCCCACCTGAAATAAGCCCACTGACACTGCTGGCCTCCACTGATTAAGTGCTGCATGTTATTAGAGGTAGAATATTTGACAGAGGGGGAAAAAAACTACAAACAATTCTAATAATATTGGGAGGTAAATTTTATATAAAAAACATATTATAATTCAAAATGTATCTTGAATGCTGTTATCTGTAAATGTTATTCTATGTTAAAATTCTGCCTCAGTGCAGCTGTGGATCAGTTCCTCTGCTGCTGAGGGAGGTTTTTGTACGACGTTGTTTCACTGTGTGAACGGTGTGCTCCAGTCCTGCTGACAGTGATAAACTCCTGCATCTTCAGCCTGAACTCTGCTGATGGTCAGAGTGAAATCAGTTCCAGACTGACTTCCACTGAAACGATCAGAAACTCCAGGCTGACGGTTTGATGTCCAATAAATTAGAAGTTTTATAGCTTCTCCAGGTCTCTGAAGGTACCAGTCTACCTCATTGTCTACATGCTCACTGGCTTTACACCTGATGGAGACAGACTGTCCTGGAGAAACAGACAGAGATCCTGGAGTCTGAGTCATGATTATGTCTCCTGATGAATCTGAAAAAGAAGAACAAAAAGGTTCAAACTTGGGTGTGATGTTAGTTTTTCTCCTTCATAAAAAGAGACAAACCAGTTTTTAACTATAGAGTCTGACCCTGAACCAGGAGCTCCAGGATGGTCAGCAGTAGACTCAGTAACATCATCATTGTGCTGCTGGTGGTTCAGTGGCTCTGAAAGGCCTGGACAGCCTCTGATCAACACTGACCTCTTAACAGCTGGGAGCAGAGAGGGAGGACACATATGCAAACACACACAGTCAGTCACATGGAGCTGAACTCTTCATCTTCAGAATATCTTTTTCTTTTTTTCCCTCTGCTACTTTTTAAATTGTTTTACGGCCAAGTGTATCATCTGTAAAATGTGTATCAGATTTTATTTTTGAACTTTCTATTTCTTCTCAAGATCCTACATTTTTCAACATAATAAAAACATAAACCATCACATCTGTTGTATGTGGAGTAAATAAAGATAAATTAGCAACAAATCACCATTTTGTGTTCATGACAAGACATTTTTATACAATTTTTCCCAAATTAGTTCAACATGGTTTAACATGGAACATCTGGTTTTAATCATATGAGAACTTAGAGACGATTCTTCTTATCTATGCTATAAAGACCCATTAAGATTGAAACTACACGTCAACAAAAAGGTTTGGAATTGGTTTAAACATATCTTTTACATTACGGTTTCCTTGTCAAATATTTTACTTTATAAATAAATTCAATCTTTTCCTATAAATAAGGAAACAACTATGTATATCTCTATATAAAGAAAAAAAATGTTGCTCAGTTTTTTTTTTTTTTGCAGAAATATTCCACATTTTTACTGCAGCTTCTAAATATTTAAACAATGAAAACAAATCAAAATACAAGATGCTGTAAAACAATATTTGTAAAATATGTTTCATAAAACTTAACTGAAAGCCTATTTAGTGATGATGCATAAAATCAGTCAAAGTGATTTTTCTACAAAATCTTTTGTTTCAAAAACTGTGCCTCATTTTTTGGTCATTTTAATTGAAAGCAAATTCACTGAGATACTCAGGGCCTGTTCAACATTATATAGGTTAATGACCACAGATTATTAATCTTTATCTGTGTCAGAGGTAGTTAGTATTGGAAAGACTTTTATATTGTTTCAAAAATGTTATCCTTTACTAAAAAATATATATTTTTTTTCTTTCTACAGTACAATAGTTTTTAAACATAATCTGATATCTAATCAAAATAGGTTTAAAACCATGGATTTATAAATAAAACATTAAAAGAAATGTCACATTGTCATGTGTTTGCTTTCTGTTAGAATTATCAATTATGTTTCCATTCATTCTAGTTAGTTTATTGATTTTTTTTTCTATTGTTCAAACTATCTGCTCTGACAGAATCTTTAGCTTGAACTTCAGTGGTGTTCAGAGTTTTATCTACTGCCTCTGAAACCATTTAGAGTTTATTAAACTATTTTTAGTTTAATTAATGAGCAGCTAGAGGCTTTAATCAATTTTATGTTGTAAATAAGCAATTTTTAGATTCAATATTTGGCTGAATTAAAGTTTGTTTATTTGATATTTTGTCTGAACCAGAATTAGAGGCTTAAACAATAGTTTTATTGTTTAAAGAATCTGTTCAGGCAGGAGAGCTAAATCTGCATCGAGTTGTCAACAATGTTTTCTTCTATTTATGTGTGCTCTATACATGTTAATATATTTTTGAGGAAAGATATTTAGATCAAATTATTGTTACTCTGTGTGTGTTTAGTGATCTGTGTCAGAGTCTGCTGTGACATTCAGCTGGAGTTTCTGTTCAGTTTGACTGAGGGAGGTTTTTGTACGACTGTTTTTCACTGTGTGAACACGTATTGACTGTTGATCCAATGAGCACTCTGACAGTAATAAACTCCAGCGTCTTCAGCCTGAACTCCATTGATGCTCAGAGTGTAGTCAGAACCAGAACCACTTCCAATTAAACGATCAGGGACTCCAGACTGACGGCTGCTTCCACATGTTATAAGGAGTTTAGGAGCATCTCCTGATTTCTGAAGGTACCAGCTGAAGCAGTAACTTGTACTTGGATTAACTTTACATTTAATAGAGACAGTCTGTCCTGGAGCAACAGACTGCGATGCCGGAGTCTGGATTATAGTGACTTGACCTGATGATCCTAGAAACACAAAATAAAATTACATTTCCTTGAAGAAAATTTGAGCTTAAAGACATTACATCACCATCCAAACAAAAGCTGCTTGATATGTATCCTGGGGAACATGGTTACATCTTAAGCCAAAGTTTTCAGTAGAGAGTCTCACCCTGAACCAGGAGCTCCAGGATGGTCAGCAGTAGAGTCAGTAACATCATCATTGTGCTGCTGGTGGTTCAGTGGCTCTGAAGGCCTGGACAGCCTCTGATCAACACTGACCTCTTAACAGCTGGGAGCAGAGAGGGAGGACACATATGCAAACACACAGAGTCAGTCACATGGAGCTGAACTCTACATGTCATCACTCATCATGTTTTCCTATCAATCTTGTGAGATTGTTCACAACCAATTTGGATAAGTGTATCTTTTATTGTCACAAAGTACTCCATTTTCATTGAATATTAAATATTTAAGTTTACTTTTTAATTAAGTTTTGGATTATCATGGCATTACTAGGCAGTTTTAGAGGTTATGTAGAAACTGTTCAAACAATTAGGTTGTTTTTTTAATCAAGTGTTAAAATAACTGCCTATATATTTCTTTCAACAAAACGTTCTGTAGGTCCTACTTCGGCCTGGTTTTAGCTAATAAATATTACAATACCTGCTAAGTTCATTCATAAGTTCATTACCATAATGCCAGAAAAGGGTGATAATAAATGGTGACAGGGGATTTATTGTTTCAAGAAATAGATTTAAAAAATGCTGGAAATATGAAAATTATTTTGATAATAAAGAATGTACATTTTTATTTTGATTTACTCATCACCTATTACTCAGCACAGAATATTTGTTTTAAATGTATTTATTTATTTATTTATAAATAAAATGAAGAAGCAAAATGCTCAAATTCTAAAATACAACAGGAGGTATAATTTAGCTGTTATAATAGGTTGTATTAGCGAATTATCTTTTTATGTTGCAACATCAATAATTAAATTGTTTTCACCTCTGCCTTAGGCCAAGAGGGCATAATCATGGTCTTCTTTTAAATTTGGATTCATAAATAAAACCCTACAATAAAAAAAATGAATTAAGTTCTAATATGGTTCTAGTTTTGTCCCCAGGTTTGGTTTTATGTGAGAAATGTGTACAAGCACATTTTTTTTAAAGAGTTGTTTGTGTTCAGAGTCAGAGAGCCGTGTCTTTAACAGTCAGAGGTTTTTGTACGACGGCTCCATCAGTTTGTATCACTGTGGTACACGTTTGGTGGAGGAACCAGATTGGAGTTTGGACGTAAGTAAAACTGTTACTTACTATTCTCTTCTTTGGTATTTTTTTTCTTTTTAATTTAATTTCATAAATGTTAGAATGTGGAAATAATGTTGGTAAACAATTTATTAATTAACAAAACACTGATAGTAGATATTAAGACGATTATATATTTTCAAATCTAAAACAAAAATATAATATGAATGTCCCACCATAGATTTATCAGTGCATCTTTCTTTATATTGTGTAATCCAGATATGTTGGATTTTGTTAAGTCTGTAAAGTCATAGAGCAGCGTCTCCAACAGTCAGAGGTTCTGTACAACGGCTCATTCAGTTTTTGTATCACTGTGGTACACGGTCAGTGGAGAGAACAGACTGGAGTTCGGAAATACAGGTGCTGGTCATAAAATTAGAATATCATGAAAAAGTAGATTGATTTCAGTAATTCCATTTAAAAAGGGAAACTTGTATATTATATTCATACATTACATACAAACTCATATATTTCAGATGTTTATTTTGTTTAATTTTGATGATTACAAATGACAACAAATGAAAATCTCAAATTCATCATATCAGAAAATTAGAATATTGTGAAAAGGTTCAAAATTGATGGCCCCTGGTGCCACACTCTAATCAGCTAATTAACTCAAACCACCTGCAAAAGCCTTTAAATGGTCTTTCAGTCTAGTTCTATAGGCTACACAATCATGGGGAAGACTGCTGACTTGACAGTTGTCCAAAAGACGACCATCGACACCTTGCACAAGGAGGGCAAGACACAAAAGGTCATCGCTAAAGAGGCTGGCTGTTCACAGAGCTCAGTGTCCAAGCACATTAATAGAGAGGCGAAGGGAAGGAAAAGATGTGGTCGAAAAAAGTGTACAAGCAAGAGAGATAACCGCACCCTGGAGAGGATTGTGAAACAAAACCCATTCAAAAATGTGGGGGAGATTCACAAAGAGTGGACTGCAGCTGGAGTGAGTGCTTCAAGAACCACCACACACAGACGTATGAAAGACATGGGTTTCTGCTGTCGCATTCCTTGTGTCAAGCCACTCTTGAACCACAGACAGCGTCAGAAGCGTCTTGCCTGGGCTAAAGAGAAACAGGACTGGACTGCTGGTGAGTGGTCCAAAGTCATGTTCTCTGATGAAAGTAAATTTTGCATTTCCTTTGGAAATCAAGGTCCCAGAGTCTGGAGGAAAAGAAGAGAGGCACTTCATCCACGTTGCTTGAAGTCCAGTGTAAAGTTTCCACAGTCAGTGATGGTTTGGGGTGCCATGTCATCTGCTGGTGTTGGTCCATTGTGTTTTCTGAGGTCCAGGGTCAACGCAGCCACATACCAGGAAGTTTTAGAGCACTTCATGCTTCCTGCAGCTGACCAACTTTTTGGAGATGCAGATTTCATTTTCCAACAGGACTTGGCACCTGCACACAGTGCCAAAGCTACCAGTACCTGGTTGAAGGACCATGGTATCCCTGTTCTTAATTGGCCAGCAAACTCTCCTGACCTTAACCCCATAGAAAATCTATGGGGTATTGTGAAGAAGAAGATGCAATACACCAGACCCAACAATTCAGAAGAGCTAAAAGCCACTATTAGAGCAACCTGGGCTATCATAACACCTGAGCAGTGCCACAGACTGATCGACTCCATGCCACGCCGCATTGCTGCAGTAATACAGGCCAAAGGAGGCCCAACTAAATACTGAGTGCTGTACATGCTCATACTTTTCATGTTCATACTTTTCAGTTGGCCAACATTTCTATAAATCCTTTGTTTTTATTGGTCTTCAGTAATATTCTAATTTTCTGATATGATGAATTTGAGATTTTCATTTGTTGTCATTTGTAATCATCAAAATTAAACAAAATAAACATCTGAAATATATGAGTTTGTATGTAATGTATGAATATAATATACAAGTTTCACTTTTTAAATGGAATTACTGAAATCAATCTACTTTTTCATGATATTCTAATTTTATGACCAGCACCTGTAAGTCTGCAGAATTTTAAGGAGTAAATAAAAAATTACATCTTACTGTTTAAAATGTTTTTCAGTTTCTCTTTTTGTGATTTAAAAAACATGCATTGGCTTATCCCTTGGCCTATACAATGCAATTTAATTAGAATAAAAGTCAAGATTTGTAATTTCTCAAAAGCTTTTTTATGTTTATAATTTCTGATATATAACATCCTGTGTGATATAATCTGTATTTTCTGACCTGAGCCTTTTTTTTTTTTTATTAAACTTTACGTGGAATATAAATAAAAAAGAATGTAAATGTAAAATTTTTTGAGTAAATTTTCAAAATAGATTCTAGTGAAAAATTTATTGATTAAAATGTCAATAAAAATATTAAAACTTTTTCCTTAAAGTCTGGATAAAATATGTAAGGTGGGTACATTATGATAAGGCTGATATGCATGAGGTGATTCACAAGGGGAAGTGAAACATTAAGTGAAGAAGTGACTGTTGGAGCAAAACGACATCTGGCAGGAACATCCTGGTAGAGAAGATCACTGCTGGATCATTAAAATGCTTAGATTTTTTTCTGTATAACTGACAGATTTCTTTGTCATGTTCTCTAACCTGATTGGTGTCTCCTAGGTGATGCTCGTCCCACCCTGACAGTGCTGCCCCCCTCCAGTGAGGAGCTGCAGCAGGGGAAGGCCACCCTCATGTGTCTGGCCAACAAGGGCTTCCCCTCAGACTGGAGTCTGTCCTGGAAGGTGGACGGCAGCAGCAGCAGCAGCTGGGAGGAGAACAAGAGCCGAGGAGTGCTGCAGAAGGACGGCCTCTACAGCTGGAGCAGCACCCTGAGGCTCCCTGCAGACCAGTGGAGGAAGGTGGGCTCTGTGACCTGTGAGGCCACCCAGGGCTCCCAGTCTGCAGTCACAGAGACACTGAGGAGAGACCAGTGTTCCCAGTCCTGAGCTGATATAAGATGTTTTATACTGCTACTTATCACTTGCTGTAAAAACCCCTTTGGATCTCATTTGGACATTTTCTGTTACTTGTTCAGAAGTCAAACATATTAAAATAAAAAACAGTTGTTGTTCCTGTATTGTCTTTGAATTTAATTAAACTACATCAGCCATAAATGTTGGTTAATATTGTTAATTTCTACCTTGACAAATAATGACAAAAAAAGAAGCACAAAACATCTAGTCAGGCTGATACATTAGCTTTCTTTGTATCTTTCATAAGTTTTATCAACTCAAGTATTTTGATGATAAAGTGCCATTTTCTTTAAATTTAGGTTTCAAAAAAATATTGAACCTTCACCAAGCTACAAATGAGGTTTCCAGACAACCTTTTTCCACAGTGTTTTTTTTTTTTTGCAAGATTTATTTATATAGCAGCTTTCAAAATGAATATCAGAGATAAATAAATAATAACTAAATATATCAAATAATTCAAATTTAATAAAAATTCATTACAACAAATACAAAAAAAATAAATAATAAATACAACTAAACAATATTTCAGAGATTTAAGTTGTCCTGCAATAGAAGACACTAAGCCCACTGGTCCGAGAGCAGATCTAAAGCCTTAGGGCCACAGAAGAAAAAGCTCTGTCTCTTTTAGTTTTTAGTTTTGTGCACAACCAGCAGGACTTGATCACAGGACATCCAAGCCCTGATAGGGGTGCAGGGATGTAAAAGTTAACTATGTGGTTTGTGTCCATGTAAAATCTGAGTTATTTTTATATTTTATTAAAGGTTTATTGTAGTTTGAACTTGGTTTAGGGCAAGTAAATGATCAATCTAGAAACTGTTTGCTCTCTGCTTTATAATGTGTGCTCAAATTATTTGGTGATCAGAATTAAAGGTTAACTTCCTTCACGCTAAAAAACATAGAGATAATGAAAAACTGAAGCTTAATTAACATTAACCATCAAAGTAAAGTAAAGTCCTTTGTGCTACATTTTTGCAGTGTACAAAGTAACAACAACTAATGCTCAGTAATTATATTACTTTTAGGCCTTAATATAATTAATCTGTGGGTCCCGTCTAATAATTCACACATGGAGGAAAAATCATAGGTATTTAAGAAAATAATAGTTTTAAATTTTTCTCTCTATGAACGTTATTTTGTGTAGAACTTTCTTCAGTGCAGCTGTGGATCAGTTCCTCTGCTGCTGAGGGAGGTTTTTGTACAGCGTTGTTTCACTGTGTGAGCGGAAAGCTGTAATCCTGCTGACAGTAATAAACTCCTGCATCTTCAACCTGAAATCTGCTGATGGTTAAAAAGTAATCAGTTCCAGAGTGACTTCCGCTGAAACGATGAGAAACTCCAGGCTGACGGTTTGATGTCCATTAAATTAGAAGTTTTATAGCTTCTCCAGGTCTCTGAAGGTACCAGTCAATCTCATTGTCTACATGCTCACTGGCTTTACACCTGATGGAGACAGACTGTCCTGGAGAAACAGACAGAGATCCTGGAGTCTGAGTCAGAGTTTTATCTCCTGATAAACCTGAGAGAGAAGGATAAAAATGTGTTGTTTTTTTTCATCACATAAAATACCAGTGAAACCAAACTTGTCAGCAGAGAGTCTCACCCTGAACCAGGAGCTCCAGGATGGTCAGCAGTAGAGTCAGTAACATCATCATTGTGCTGCTGGTGGTTCAGTGGCTCTGAAAGGCCTGGACAGCCTCTGATCAACACTGACCTCTTAACAGCTGGGAGCAGAGAGGGAGGACACATATGCAAACACACTGAGTCAGTCACATGGAGCTGAACTCTACATAACCTACTGCATTTCTGCAATAAACTATGCAAACCAGTCTAGCAACAGTTAGAAACTTTTCAATTCATTTTTATTGCACTAATTGCCTTTTACTGCAGCCCGTAGGTATCTTATAGAAAGACATGCTAAATTAATAAATAAACATACAAATAAATGTTTAGGAAATGCAAATAGATTAATAGAACCAACAAATGAATTGTACAGTGAGAGTTTAAAAAACAAATTATTCAGTATTTATTCACCTTTACAAAACTACCGTTTTTTGCTTTTGCAATTTACAACTTTTTTATTTATCATTTATTTATGTGTATGCTTTAATAATTTGGTCTGTTTTATCTTTTTTTCTGTATTTTTTGTTTCTCACTTATTTCTTCAAAGCAATTTCCTGCTTGATTATGCAAATGAGGGGCAGGGTGGTCATAAAGAATTATACAAGATACCAGGGCAGCCACAGTCACAAGAGATACTGTCCACGATTCAATTCAGTTCAGTTCTGTTTTTTTATATTGCTCCATTTCACAACACATGTCTTCTCAAAGTACTTTACAGAGACAATTCAACCAGATCGTACAATGAAACTGATTCAAAGATTTCTATCTAAGGAAAACAAGCTGATTGCATCGTCTCATTGACTTGAAAGCCATCTCTCACACCAAGCATGCTTGTAGCGACAGTGGAGAGGAAAACTCTATCTCATTTCTGGAATAAACATTAAAATAGAGATGGTTAAGGGTATATTTTTAGTTTATTTGATTTTCACAAACGTTTGAAAAGAACCGCCCTCTCCATTTAAAAATTGCTCATACAGTACAACTTACTTTCCTAAAGAAGATTTGCTAATTTTCCACTATGTCAGATTCACCACCAGTGATCAGTCAGTCTAGAAGCAGCTAGGAAACAATACATGAATCCTTCAAAATATAACAAAGCATAAGGAGCTGAAAAAAATTTTTTTATTAAAATGTCAGAATGAAATGTTGAAAATATCAAATTAAGTTAAGTAAGTCTTATAGAGGTTACTTTAGAAAGTTTTTGTAGATGTTCTTAGCTGTAGTCAGAAGTGATTAAAATGAAAGATGATGCTTATTGTGATCCATAATGTTCTTCATTGTATGACCGAGATTATTCATCCTATTCTGTGATTCAGGACGCAGGGTTCTGGAAATGGTGTGTTTCCAGTTGGAGCCCCCGCTCTGTCCTTCTTAATAGTTATTTCTTTGGGCAAGACACTTTAGGTGCTTTGCCTTGGTCAGATGGCACTGTGGTGCTGATTTTAGTTTTGCAGCCTTCCTTCTGAAAGTCTGCAACAGGGCAGATGGATAAGCATGACAGAAAATTGAATGATGGATGGATGGATGGATGGATGGATGGATGGATGGATGGATGGATGGATGGATGGATGGATGGATGGATGGATGGATGGATGGATGGATGGATGGATGGATGGATGGATGGATGGATGGATGGATGGATGGATGGATGGATGACTTTAATTATTTCATTTACATTCTTAATCAGTTAGTCAATCTCTTTATTATTGTAAACCTCCACGAAAAGAACTACAAAAGTAAAATTGAGTAAAAAATACAATAAAAAAACAATAAACAAACTCAAAATTAAGCAAAAAAGAATAGGCTGAAGCAAAGGATATTATTGCCCACCCTTTTTTTATACATTACAACCTACCGGGTTATCTTTATATACAGTACATATATAAATCTACATTACAGGGTAAGATTTTATCATTTTACTTTTTAAATCTCTTTTTGTCAGGGGTCTGCCCGCTGTTTTGGTTCATTTTTAGTTTCTTTGTAATTTTGTGTCTTTGTAGTCTTTGTCGCCCCCTTGTGCTTGTTTCCTTTCCCTTTGGCTCCCCTCTAGATTAGTTGTATTCAAACCTGCTCCATATTCTGCTTATTAGCTCATGCTTTGTTTTGTTCTCCATATACACCAGCTGTGCAGTTCCTCATGGCTGGTTTCTTGTTGTTTTTGCTCCCTTGTCTCCTTGCGCCCCATGTCTGTTCTCCCTGGAATTTGCTGGAGGATTTTTTTTGTTTGTTTTTTTGGGGGGGATTTTTGGATTTGTGCCTCAGTTGCCTGTATATCCTTTATCAAATCTACAAAACTCACCTCTGCCTCCCTATCTCTGATTTGGGTCCTCAAAAACCTCCATTCAACATTGACACTTTTAAATTTCACCAAGAAAGGACATAACTTACATTCATCATTCATTTTGTTCCACAATTTCAACCAGTAACTGAAACACATCTAGATCTGTCTCTTCTCTTTTGCACATTCAAATATAAAAAATAAATTATATCTATTCTCTCTTAGCTTAAATATCTTCTGAATACCAGAAGGAATACTTTTGTTCAATGCTTTATACATTATTTCCAGTATTTTTTATATAAACTATATCTTTGAATTTTAATGTATTACTTTGAATAAAAAGTTTATCAGTTGGTTTACGGAATCCCAACTTATCATAAGCTTTATTTTAATTTTTTTGCAACTTAATTAATACTTCAATGCATTTCCCCATATTTCTGAGCAATAAGACAAATAAGGGAAACCAAAGAGGAATATATATTATGTAAGTCTTTGACCTGTATTCAGTCTTTCATTTTAAACAATATTTTTTTGCAATTTGTTCAGTATTTCTAAAGGAAGTCGAAATAAAATGAAATCAAGAAAATTTAATGTGTTGTGGAATATGACGATGACATGACGATGTTCTTATTTGGTAAAAGGGATTTGTGTGCTTTCGTCTGTTCTCACCTAAATGTTTGTGTAAAGAGTTGACACCCTCATCTTGTTGCTTTGAAGCAGTGTGTGTGCTCTAAATGTTATAAAAAGTCTGTCAACATTCAGCTCTTCGTACATTTTCACTTATCTGTGGTTGACACGTTTGCCTTCACACACTGCTATGCCCTCGAATAAACTTATAAAAATAAGATAGATCTTACTCTTTGCTAATTACATTTTCCATAACAAATCCCTAGACCAAGAGGACCCATCACCTTTATCTTTGTAGGGAAGCTTCGCTATTGTCAGTCTGTCCCAGGACAGCTTCAGCAACATTAGCATGTTGTAAATAAATGAATGAGTCAATGTATTGTAAAGTCCTCTAACTTTATAAAGTGTCATATAACTACAGACAATTTCCCATGAGTCTCCTGCTTTTCAGATTCTGCATGTGGGTCAGAAGGCCTCCTAAAACCACGTTAATCACTCGAAGCTTATTGAAAACATACCAGATATTCCTGCGCCTTTTATTCAGGAAATAAGATACTTGAAATTTCATCATTAAAGATTAAGAATTAAGGCTAATTAAATATTAATTTATTTAAAGGAAAAGAGGTTATAATTTGACATGTATTGTTTTTAAAAATAAATTAAGCTTCTCAGCAAGAAACAGATATTCTGAAGATGAAGTCCAACTGCAATTTATTAAAGCAAATGATCTGTAGCAGAGTAAAAATTTAGATAATTCAAGAATCAGCTCAGGACTGGGAACACTGGTCTCTCCTCAGTGTCTCTGTGACTGCAGACTGGGAGCCCTGGGTGGCCTCACAGGTCACAGAGCCCACCTTCCTCCACTGGTCTGCAGGGAGCCTCAGGGTGCTGCTCCAGCTGTAGAGGCCGTCCTTCTGCAGCACTCCTTGGCTCTTGTTCTCCTCCCAGGCGAAGGTGTTAATGCTGCCCTCCACCTTCCAGGACAGACTCCAGTCTGAGGGGAAGCCCTTGTTGGCCAGACACATGAGGGTGGCCTTCCCCTGCTGCAGCTCCTCACTGGAGGGGGGCAGCACTGTCAGGGTGGGACGAGCATCACCTAGGAGACACCAATCAGGTTAGAGATTCTGACTCACAAATGTGTTAATAATACAGAAGTAATCTAAACAAATTCATGTGGCAGCAGTGAGTTTTTTCTGTGAAGATGTTCCTGCCAGAGGTCGTTTACTGTAACTCCAACAGTCACTTCTTCAATTAATGTTTTAGTTCCACATATGAATTACCTCATGCATAACAAACCCCATTATAATATAACCTGGGTTTAAATATTTAATTTAGCTTTAAAATAAAGAAAAAAATTTTGTCTTGCAAGTTGTAATATGTTTAATTGATTTTTAAATAATATATCATAAAAATGTTCTATACAAAATTACATCTAAGATCTTTACAGAAAATTGATCTTACATTTTTCCTATTTTTTTCTGTCCCATCCTTTTAAAAGGTTATCAAAGAGCAATACCTTTAATAGATTCTGAATTTCAAAACTTGACTTCGATATAATTGAACTACATTATACAGCTCAAGGGATCAACAATCACAAGTATTATATTTTAACAACTTCAAAAGGAAAAACAGATACTGATTTTGACAACCATTGTATAATCTTTTGTTTAAATTAAAAAATGCCGACCTGTTATGAAAAAAAAAAAAACTAATTCAGAGAGCAGTAAAAAAATAAAAAAATAAAATTGACTTACTTCCAACCTCCAGTCTGGTTCCTCCACCAAAAGTCCACCACAGTGATACAAACTCATTGAGCCGTCGTACAAAAACCTCTGGCTGTTAGAGAGACACATTGCTCTCTCACTGAAACAAAAACAAGTCTGAAAAAAAACATGTTTTTACATACAGGTGCTGGTCATAAAATTAGAATATCATGAAAAAGTAGATTGATTTCAGTAATTCCATTTAAAAAGTGAAACTTATATATTATATTCATACATTACATACAAACTCATATATTTCAGATGTTTATTTTGTTTAATTTTGATGATTACAAATGACAACAAATGAAAATCTCAAATTCATCATATCAGAAAATTAGAATATTGTGAAAAGGTTCAAAATTGATGGCCCCTGGTGCCACACTCTAATCAGCTAATTAACTCAAACCACCTGCAAAAGCCTTTAAATGGTCTTTCAGTCTAGTTCTATAGGCTACACAATCATGGGGAAGACTGCTGACTTGACAGTTGTCCAAAAGACGACCATCGACACCTTGCACAAGGAGGGCAAGACACAAAAGGTCATCGCTAAAGAGGCTGGCTGTTCACAGAGCTCAGTGTCCAAGCACATTAATAGAGAGGCGAAGGGAAGGAAAAGATGTGGTCGAAAAAAGTGTACAAGCAAGAGAGATAACCGCACCCTGGAGAGGATTGTGAAACAAAACCCATTCAAAAATGTGGGGGAGATTCACAAAGAGTGGACTGCAGCTGGAGTGAGTGCTTCAAGAACCACCACACACAGACGTATGAAAGACATGGGTTTCTGCTGTCGCATTCCTTGTGTCAAGCCACTCTTGAACCACAGACAGCGTCAGAAGCGTCTTGCCTGGGCTAAAGAGAAACAGGACTGGACTGCTGGTGAGTGGTCCAAAGTCATGTTCTCTGATGAAAGTAAATTTTGCATTTCCTTTGGAAATCAAGGTCCCAGAGTCTGGAGGAAAAGAAGAGAGGCACTTCATCCACGTTGCTTGAAGTCCAGTGTAAAGTTTCCACAGTCAGTGATGGTTTGGGGTGCCATGTCATCTGCTGGTGTTGGTCCATTGTGTTTTCTGAGGTCCAGGGTCAACGCAGCCACATACCAGGAAGTTTTAGAGCACTTCATGCTTCCTGCAGCTGACCAACTTTTTGGAGATGCAGATTTCATTTTCCAACAGGACTTGGCACCTGCACACAGTGCCAAAGCTACCAGTACCTGGTTGAAGGACCATGGTATCCCTGTTCTTAATTGGCCAGCAAACTCTCCTGACCTTAACCCCATAGAAAATCTATGGGGTATTGTGAAGAAGAAGATGCAATACACCAGACCCAACAATTCAGAAGAGCTAAAAGCCACTATTAGAGCAACCTGGGCTATCATAACACCTGAGCAGTGCCACAGACTGATCGACTCCATGCCACGCCGCATTGCTGCAGTAATACAGGCCAAAGGAGGCCCAACTAAATACTGAGTGCTGTACATGCTCATACTTTTCATGTTCATACTTTTCAGTTGGCCAACATTTCTATAAATCCTTTGTTTTTATTGGTCTTCAGTAATATTCTAATTTTCTGATATGATGAATTTGAGATTTTCATTTGTTGTCATTTGTAATCATCAAAATTAAACAAAATAAACATCTGAAATATATGAGTTTGTATGTAATGTATGAATATAATATACAAGTTTCACTTTTTAAATGGAATTACTGAAATCAATCTACTTTTTCATGATATTCTAATTTTATGACCAGCACCTGTATTTCTCAAATAAAACCAATCCAAGACTAAAACCAAAACTTTACAATAAATTGTTTAACTTTTTATTACAAGCTTGATTTTGGATCTTATATTGTGGGAAAACCAAAACTGCTTGACTTTAGGTGTCTTGAAATAAGATCCTTTGACCTCAAGGGTCTATTTACATACTTCTTAATCTTAATCTTCAAATAAAAAAATACACATAACGATTATTCCTTTTTATGCCTTCCTCTTCCTCCTCTCTTTCAAAAAATGTCTATTTGCTATTTTGTATCCTGAATTAACAAAGCTTGAATTTTAAATAATACGCCCCTGGAACACTAACCCTCATCGTGACTTTCCCTTCCCCAGCATTTTAGGATCTCAATTCCTCCCTTAAATATTTCCTTCCACCCCAAAATAGCAAACCCAATTTATTCATCGATGTTGCCCATACTCATTAACCAATCCTCACATCTGAGCATCCCGAGCCCGTAGCATCATCAGTGACCTTCACACCCCCACCATGGACTGTTCTCCCTGCTGCCCTCATAAAGAGGCTTTGCAGCATTTGATGCAGGGCCAGCACTTTCTGCAACAGCTTTTTCCCTGCTGCCATAAGACTGTTAAGCTGCTGAAAACTGTAATCAAGTCAGAAATCGAGATTCTGCATCACACTGTAAACATCATACTTGCACTACATGGAGAATTTTCAAATCCCTTTAAACATACTGTAATTCACTTCAGTGTTCTACTGCATTTTGCACCATATTTATTTATTTATTTTTGCACTGCTCTGATCCTTCCACATCAATGGCTTTTGCACAATTTCTCTCCTAATCTGTTTACATTTTGATCACTGCTGCACTTTAAAAATGGAAATGTTAATTTCGCTGCTAAGCTGCTCATTCACTGTTGAAAAAGCTGTACGCATTAAAATTGTCTATGAAAAATGACAATAAAGTTTGTCTAAGTCTAACTCATCTAACTGCGCCCCTCTGTTTACAAATGGTGCATGACCAGTGACTCTGTTGTGCATTTCATTGATTAAGATTAAATAAGCCAATTAGCAGTTTATCTCATCGTGTGTGATTCTGCAGACGAGTCAAAAAAAACACCTCAAAAACATGATTTTAACAAGTTTTTATTCCTTGATTAATTATCACCTAGAGTTTGTTATAACTTTATTTACATTTGGACAAGGTAATTCACTAAATCCAACAGGCCATGAGAAGAAAGTATTAACCAGACAGGAAACCTAGAGGCCAGCCATAACCTTAGAGGAGCGCCCAAGATCAGCAACTTAAGACGATAGAGTGTACTGACAAAAAAATTATTATTTTACGGTTTAAAAAAAAAATGTAGATCTTCATGGCCAGAAGATAGTTATAGTTGATAGAAAGAAATAGCATGGAGTTTGAGGCTTTATAGAGTGGACTAAAAACAAAAAAAAACCTTTATCCACATTACGATCTGAATCATCAACAAAATTTAATGGATTGTTCCATGACATGAGGAACATCTCTGATAAAAGTTTCATTAAAATCCGTCCATACCTTTTCATGTTATCCTGTACACACACAGACAGACAGACAAACACATAAACTGTCATGGAAACATAACCTCCTTGTGGGAGATAATAAAGCAGTGTAATTATGTCATGTGTTCACATGTTTGCAAACAATCAAAATTACCAGTCATGGGTTGAGTTTTTGTTCAGTATGAATGATTTAAAGTAATGAATAGATTGTTTGTGGATGAGTTAATCCAACCTGAGCTTTAATGGCCATTTTGAAGTCAGAACTTTATCTACTGCTCAATGAAACCATTCAGTCTATTATTTATTTGCAAGGTAAATATAAATCTACATATAACTGTTATTACTCTGTGTAGGCGACTATCATCCAAAAAAATAGTCACTGAGAGGAGAGCAGGGATCTGTTCGACGCGCTGAATCCAAGGAGGAAACATAAAGCTTTTCTGCAGTTAGGAATGTTTATTGTACTCTTTTTCTGAGAGGCATTGTACAACAGGTTGATTTGCAGACTTATTTGCTTTAAACTTGCGGTCAACAGAAATATTGGCACCCTGTCTTAGCCTCTCTCTGAATCAAACAAACAAAACCGCCTCAGAGCAGATCCAGGTGATATTAATTAGACAATCACTCAGACACATGCCAACACCCACTTATAGCTCCACCCACACATGCCCATACATACCTTTAACACATGCAGCCTACCCTTAGAGACATTACCAAAATGAATCCTTGCCTCTACATTCCGGCCCCTAATTATTATGATATAATAATTACTAAATAATAAGAGAAACATAGTATAATCTCACACAAAAAACATGTATAGAAGCTGTGTTTTCAGATCAGCAGTTTGAACAGAGAATCTGGTAGAAAATGGTCTGTGCCACAGGTTCTATGTTCAATGTGAAGTAGTATCAACAACAGAACAAGAACAGCAAATCATAACAAATAATCCATCAAGTATCCTCGGCTTCCTGAAGCAGGCAAATCTTTGTGACAGGTCTGTCCAAACAGCTCGTCTTGGTCCTGATCTTGACTTGTCGAACGAGTCCTTTTCTGTCTTTATAGGCTTCAACAACTCTCCCCATAATCCAAGAATTTCGGGGTGCAGAGTCATCTACGATGAGCACGATGTCTCCAGGAGCAAAGTTGCGCTTGATTTTGTTCCATTTCTGATGCTCCTGAAGCAGTGGTAAGTATTCTCTTGTCCATCTCTTCCAAAACAAATCAGAGATGTACTGTACTTGTTTCCATCTATGTACAGCATACGAATCTTCCTTCCGGAAAACACCAGGTGGGAAAGATGGTTGACCTTTGAGGAGGAGGAGATGATTAGGAGTCAGAGCCTCCAAATCATTTGGATCTGTGGATGCTTTTGTTATTGGTCTGCTATTGAGAATAGCTTCAACTTCACAAAGCACAGTGTGGAGGCTGTCATCATCCAGAGTTTGAACTCTTAAAGTAGAGTTGAGGACCTTTCGGATTGAACGGATTAACCTCTCCCAGACTCCCCCATGATGGGAACCACTAGGAGGATTAAACTTCCACTTTATTCCTTTCTGTGATAGTTCATCATGAATCTGAGCTTGATTCCAATGCTCCAGAGATCTTCTCAATTCTCGATCGGTGCCAACAAAGTTGGTTCCATTGTCTGAGCAAAGCTCTTTGACTTGGCCTCTTCTAGCTATAAAGCGACGTAGTACATTCATAAATGAATCTGTCTCCAGTGATGCGGCTACTTCAATATGCACAGCTCTCAGAGCTAAGCAGGTGAA